GGGTCAGGGACACTAGCCAATCCTCCTCTCGTGTCGCGGCGGGGCTACCAAAGGGCGGGCTGTATTAACAGTTTGGAAATGATGTTTTGGATTATGAAAATGGGGAGCGACACTAGCATGCATTGCATCTCATACCATTGCATTGGATATACTTAACGTTGAATCGTTATGCTGTATTATTCCCCGACATTGTATGATCCCCATTTCCCATTGGCCTATACTTTGTTTGGATTCACAAGGACACAAGATGTGTGTCTTAAGTGTCACCTACTGAGCTTTATGCTCACCCTACTATTTATATTATTTTTTTCAGGTCTTGGAAATGAACTAGTGGACGACAATCCACCTCAAACTTGAAAATTGTTAGAAGGTTGTTTGCTATTTTGTATTTTGACCGTTCTATGTATATTCGTAGTTGTGGAAATGTAACTAAGTTAGTATTCATGGCCTTGTAACTTAAGAACGAACTTATCTTTTGTTTGATGTAAATGAAACTAGTGGAATTATGGTATATGTTTCCATGCAATTGTATCATGTAACGTTGTAAGACAGGGACTTTAAATATTAATCTTGTATTTTGGGACTGTAATTATGATAATTTAGATTAATTGGTGTGTGGATGTTCCACCATGAAAGGAACTATGTTAAGGTATAATGAACGGATGAATGGGATGCTTGATGATTTTATGTGTTTTGTGTATTGGGACAGGTTGTTGAAGGCCCATTTTTAGGGGAGGTTATGCCGATTTTTTTTTAAATTTTGGAATCAGCTAGGGTCGTTACACGATAGCCATAAATAGGGCATCGAGCCGTTAAAGAAAGTATGAGAAAAAACTCCTAAACAGAATATTAGATAATGATTATGTGATACGATTACAAGTACTAACTTGACCGTCGGAGGGTACTCGGCTAGCACCCCACCGGTGCCATTCGATGTGACATCCCTTTATTTTACAAGTAAACGCCGTCGTTCCGAGTCGTGAGGATTTTCGCATCAATAGCTATATAGCTTATTAATTCAAATCTTGATTTTTGGTAGTTGCTTGAAATTGTTTTGCTTCTCTTTGATTCGTCATTATAGTGAGAGAAAGTATAAATAAATAAATAAAAGGAAAAACAAATTTAGAATAAAATAAATTTAAAACCTCAAAAATGAAAGATGATTGAGAAGATGACATAAAAATTAAACATTTTCTTATTCCTTATTTATTTTTATAAAAATTAAACATTTTCTTTATTTATTTTTAAACATTTTCTGGGGAACAATTTGTTAAGGGTTAATTTTGTCCAAAAAATTACTTCAAAAAATTACTTAAATGGACATCAGTTAAAAATACCCCCCGGGATAGTCGAGGCCTCGAGGTGGATTTTTTGCAATTCATCCATTTCTAATTTTAACATTTTCAAACAAATTCAAATGAATATCTAACTTTTATTATTTTATATAATGAGGGTATATTGGTAAAAATTATATAAAAATTCTATTTTCTTCCTTCCAACCAAACAAAAAAAAAGTATGAGCTCATTCATCATTTTTACTACCCAATCTATTGAATCAAACAAAAAATGAAAGAAACATCTTCCCTTCCCTAATGATTTCTCATCCGTCCCTCCCCTATCTCTTGTTTCTATTTTTGCATTCCTCCAACCAAACAAAGCATTAGTCTCTCTCACACTCTCTCTCTCTCTCTCTCTCTCTCTCACACACACACACACACACAATCCCGTCTTCTTTTGCAAGTCGAAAATAGGTTTTGGTTGTGAAAATTCTTTGGAGTAGGTTTCAGTTTGAAAATTCTTGGAATTTGTTCGTTTTCTAGTGACAGAAATATCCTAGACTAAACTTTTCTTTTTCCTTTTTCTTTTAAGATATTTGGATTCCATAACAGTCCAATCCTGGCATATTGATTCTACCATGTTCAAAATTAGCTGGTCGAAAAGATTTCGCCAAAATAACATAAATTAGAATTTGTCATAACCCCAGAAGATGAACATTGCCAGTTTGAGCTTTTAATGAAATTCAAATATAAATGTAGGCAGATTGCAACTTGTGAGGGTCAAAACAAAATACAGAATACAGGTGGTCCCTACTGAATTGTCACACTATCATCATATTATGTTAGGCGTTATTAAAATGGGCCCTCTTCTATCCAACCAACTCGGGACCACTCCTCCACAGTCTCACATGCATCAAATTAAACCATCTTCTTCTTCCTCATTTCTGAATCAATCATGCTCTCTCTTTAATCATACAACACCCAAATACTATTTAGAAATCAGAGAATCGGATGGATGAGATTGCTTGTCCTTTTTTTTTTCTTCAATTTCAGATCTATACTGAAAATAAAGTTAGGAAAAAAGAAGAAGAAGGATAAATAATCATTATATATCCGGTTTATGTGGAGGGTTTAAAGGGGAAGATTGATGACAGGTTCGAACATTAATCATGACCAGTTCAACACAAGTCAAGGACCCAAACCTTAGAAAGTTAAATTAACTCATAGTAATAATAATTAACTTTTTATATTATAGTAAAAAATTTTACTTAAACACGGATTCTTTATTTAAATTTTCTTATCATATAACATTAAGGTTGGTAAAATATTTTTTAGAAAATATTTTTTATTTTTTTGTGTTTGGTTGTCATAAAATATTTACGAAGAAAAAAATATTAAAATTTAACAAAAATAATTTATTTATTGACAAGTTATGTTACATGTCCTGCTCAATGGACTGACCTTAACCTCAGCTTTAACTTAGATATTTGTCAAACACAAAAATATAAAAATTAAAGTTAAAAAAAAAAAAAGAGAAAAAGAAATAATCATCATAGAGTGCTTAAAGGGAAATATTGATGACGGGTTTGACCATTAATCATGACCGGTTGGACACAAGTTTTTTCTAAAGGACCCAAAACTTAGAAAGTTAAATTAAATAATAATTATAATAATTAACTGTCTATATTATAGAAAATTTTACTAAACCGCTAGTTCTTTATTCAATTTTTCTTATGACACGACATTAAAGTGCTATATAACTGAATAATGATTACATATATATGCATAGAAACTAGAGATACAAGAATCAATTTGTTCTTATTTATTTTAGGATAGGTCATATATTAATAAATAACAATTAAAATGGAGCCCATATCATAAATATCCACCTCCTCACACTTATTAGTTATTACTTATTAGTACGAAGTTCACAAGTTAATTTTTTTTTTTTTTTTTTCCATGACAAATTCGTTGTTGATTTTTCAGTGAGCTTAAATGAGAAAATGAGGGTTCTCTAAATGAAAATTGTTGGGATAAGGACGCGAGCTCTTTCAATGTAACCTCATTAACAAAGTCGAATATTATTTACTCATGCAACACATTTACTTCGTCTTCGGTATGTATCATGAAACACATTATATTAAAATGCTACGATATAACAATTTTATTTGGAAGATAAAACACTTTTGTATTTGTGTTATATCTGTAAATTTCAACAAAATTAAGTATAATAATATAAAATTTAAGGATGATGATCCGTTGGAGGACATTCAAAATTCAAAACACTATCAAGTGTCTTAAGATACTGATGCTTCAAGATTCAACTTTAGGCGGAATCGCGTGATAAAAGCGACATTTCTTGTTGCTTAGGCCAAAAGCTCCAAGACGCTCCACAGCCTTAAGACAACCATCGCTGTTCTCGAAGTTAAGACACCTTTTTTGTTGATTAAAACTTTGTCCATAGCCATTGCCCAATGACAATTGACCTCTTTGTCCCCATCTCCAATAATCCCTTTTTAAAGTAATAACGTCTCCTTTTTTCTTACCCTTTTATTTAGTGACACACTTCAAAAAATAATATGCCTTTAGTTTATTTATTAAATGTTTTAGCATAAGAAGAAAGAGTAGATTTCTTAAAATTGTTACGTTTTGGGTCCAAATCCATTGTATTATTTATTTTTCATCTACCACCATTATAAATAATGAAAGTATGGGGTAACACTACTTCACAAAGAGAAGTGTTTAAAATGGAAGTAGGAAATATTTAAAAGTTCTGCGTGCACGCATGTTCATATATTTATATTTTGATGTTAAAGAGCTCTTTTGTGTGCTCGGCCGGCTACCCACCACTTTGATGGACGGAGGATTTTTTTCTTTTCGTGGAACGAGTTTGGAAAAGGAGTGACCCACCATAACTCACCGGCGTGACATTCCTAAGCACTCCGAGTAAAAAAATGAACTACTTTAATAAATAAATATATGTTAAATTGACATCGGTTGGCATTAGCCAAACCCCACTCGAGCATGTTTGAGAGATGAAATGAATATTCTGTACATTATCATGCACTATCCAAAACCTATTGACCATATTAAACTGGTCATGGATGGTTTGGGGACTACTCATTTCACTGTCATGATACAAGTATAAATTTGAATGGAAGGGCCCATTATTGGGGGATATATATGTGTATACATACACACGTGTTGTCACAGACATACATTACAATTTGGTAATGACGCAAACTTATGCTAATTTTTTTTAAAAAACTAGTGAGTGTAAAGAGTCTAAGTCTGGCACTCTCAAAATTCACCAAAGATACTAACCACTGGACTATCGAGGCATCTGCAATATCCAAAAATCATTGCAACTAAAACTATGTGTCACAAAAAAAAAAAAAAAAAAAACTAGGACAAAATAATTCAAAGAAGTGATCATCACTTTTAGACATCTCAGGAGTGGATGGGGGGCAATTAACACAAGTACCCCACTAATTCCCCCACTAAGTTAATCAACATCATAACATTAATTTTCAGAAATATCAATTTTTTGGTAAAAAAAAAATAAAGAAAAATTGCCTGAAAATTTCAAGATAATTCTGCACACAAAATGTCAATTTGCCTGAAAAATTAAATAATATATATGCACAAAGATGTGAAAAACCACAAAGAAACAAAAATTCAAAAACCAACCCAAAAAAAAAAAAACAAAAAAAGCCAAAGATATATCAAATCTCTAATCTCTATTAGAAATTTAGAAATAATACACATCTGTAATGAGTTTGTAAATTTAATCTTAACAGACAAAAGAAGGAAAAAATTAGAACAGGAATCTAACACCCATTTCATGTTAATTTCGAAATTAACATTGCAACATGGTTTGGTGTTGTAATGGTGAAGGGGAAGAAGCCAATGGAAGTACCTGATGTTGTGGCAATTGGTGATGAGTCTCTCTCTCTCTGTTCTTACCCACAACAATTTTAATAACAGACCCTCCATCTGACCTCTCTTCTGTCACCATTGTTGAATCCACAACACACCCACCATTTTTTAGGGCTTTTTTCTCAGCTTCCTCCTTCAATCTTCTCATCAGCTTCTCCTCTGCATCTCTCAAGAACTTGAATTTTGGTGGGGGTGAAGATCTCACCCTGTTGAGTTCAGCATCTGTTGATGATTCAAAGAGGGGATTGAATCCATGGTTGTTATAAGTATCCAAAGTGGGGTGAGGAGACTTTGATGATGGTGAAGAAGATGAGAAATTCTCAACAGCAAGAATTAGGTCACTGAGGCTTCTAGTTCTTGACCCAATCCTGCTTCTTGATTTCCCATCATCAGACTCCAAATCCTCCTTTGTTTCCTCCTTGATGGTGAAGAGAAACCTTGGTGGGCCACACAGATTGTGCAGCCTCATCAGCTCTGAAATCTGGGTGTCTTCACCAAAACCTTTGAGCAGCAAGTCCTTGCCTGACCCCAATTCTAGGTCCGGCGGTTCGGCCCCAATCACAACATCTGGGTTGTTGTTTCTCACTGAACTGGTGAGTTCTTGAGTACTGTTAGTGCTGCTGTTGTTAAGAGAAGTGGTTCTCTTCCAACACAAGGAATTGTGGAGGATCTGTTTGGCATGGTTGATTATGTAATGCTCTTTCATCTCTCTGTTTGTGTTCTTCTTCTTCCACCACAACAAATAGTAGACTTCTCCAACAAGACCAAATAGGATGCACCCAAACACTAAACTCAACACAATTCCTAAACCACTAAAAGATCCCATCTTTCCCTGGTAAATCACATCCAACAAAACAATATATATATATATATATATATATATATATATATATATATATATATTTTTTTTTTTTGTTGAAATAGAGAGATTAAAATAAATAAATAAATTATTAGAACTCACACCAAACTATGAGCAAAAAAGGAAATTTCACAAACCCATCATGAAATTTGTGAACAATTCCATTGTTTTTAGTGAAAATAAGAGGGCAGAAATAAAAATTTTCAACATTGATGAAAAATCATTCTCAATACTCATAGAAAATCACAAAACCAGAAAGGACCCTCCTTCTACAACACCTCAAAGCAAAAGAAAATTGCTAAAGATTCCACTTTTTCCTATAAAATTCACTGAACCCAGAAAGACTCTCTCCCTAGGAATCCAAAAGTTTGCAATGAAATCAAAGGAACCAGAAGAACGCTCAGAAACAAAAAAGACTCCCTCTCTCTCTCTAACTCCCTCTCTCTCTCTCTCTCTAACAAAGCTTAACACTCTCCGGAAACACAAGCAATAATTTCCCAAAGCTTTTTTAAGGACCTTATATATTGCCTGAAACACACGCTATGAGAAAAAAAAAACAGTGCTTTCTTTATGGAAATTTACCTGGTTGGAAGCACTAACTTACCTTTTAAGCCCAAAATTTCAACATCCCACGACACCAATAGGGCTGACAAACTATTCTTTTTTATTCAATAATAAAGACTAAAAAAAGGAATCAAAACTCAATATTTGTAAAATCAAATATACATATAAGATATCTTTCTTTATTATATAGTGGGATCTTGGCATATGATGATGGACCAAGTTTTCTCCGCCTGCAATATATTTCTTTGTGCACCTTCAACGGTCAAAAAAGGGTTGTCCTTCATTAACAAAAACGATGCTGGTTTACGGTTTGAATTTCATCAATTCAATAGTAAAATGTGTAATTCAAATTTGAGTTCCGTTATCTTCTTTATAATGAAATTAGAGTGTTGAAATTAGAGAAAAGTTATAAAAAAATTGAATTAGAATTTTTTTCAATTTTAATTAAAAAATTTTAATTTCATACCGTCAAAGATAATTTTGGTATAATTGAAAATTTAGTTAGGATACCAAACTGATTTTAAAGAGTAAAGTACACTTACTTCTCCTTTAATTAGTTTCACTTAAAGTCAAAGATGATCAACATTAATGTATCAAGTTTTTTATCTTCATATGACAACTCTGACTTTTGCAATGCGGTGAAGACACTTTTGTCCATGTAAAAAGACAATACTCATAACATTTTCAACAATTCATTTTTTTTTTGTTACGAGTAACATTGTATATGAAGTTAAAAAAAACTTCTCACCTCATTAATGAAACTGAAAGTAGAGATATGTTTGTTAAGGGTTCGTTTGACAACCACAGTTATTTTGTACTTTTGCTTTGAGCTGAAGCAGAATTAATATTTTTACTTTTAGAATGTGTTCAATACTATTTAGAAGCGTGTTTGGTAATGTAAATTTGTTACAAGATTTTTAGAAGTAAAAACATGAAGCATGTTTAGTAAAAAATATTGCAAGTTTGAAAATTTGAATGGTTAGTCAAAAAAATTATTTTAGAAAATAAATTTTTTTATTTTTTGAACATTATTTTGTTATAGTGCGGAAGTAAACAAAAGTATCATTTGGATACTTTCGATTTTGGCCTCAATTTTGTAAGTGCTTCAATACTATTCAAACACACAGTGAATATTATCAAACATGTTTCGTGCTTTTGCTTCGTTATAAACTTACAGTACACAAACAAAAGTAAAAAACACGAAGCAAAAGCACCAGCCAAAGATGCCCTAAATCCATATAAGTATAAAGGATGCAGGTGCAATTATTTAAAATATAGAAGAAATAAGTGTAATAAATTTTAACTAGAAGGGAGGTAAATATAAAGACTATAATCGGCTGAGGTGGGCGTGTGTGGAATCGTTGGAGGGTCACATCCTCTCAGAGCAGCTCACATGGGGCAAGCAAAGACGTCTGTCATTTATTCCAAAAAGAAGTCATAAATATAGAGAGAGGAGATACATAAAGGACAGAAAGGGCGTCTAACAGCTTATACATGCGAAGATAATCTGAACCCGAAAAAGGAGTGATAATAGATCGATGAGTTGTGATTGCATCGCTCACGCGGACTGTCCACGTTACAATCTTTATAGACCACACTCTTACACCCATTTCCCCCCGAAGATTTAGCTGGGCTTGGGCTATCTTGGATCATATACTCATATATATATAGACACACGCACACGCACACGCACACGCACACATAAGGCTAAAATGTAAATAATTGAACTATTACCTATTTATAAATAATCTACTTGACCAGCAGGTCTGTGACCTAACGGTATAAGGCTCTTACTTCTCAAAGGGAGATCAGGAGTTCGAACCTTAATGGAGACAGTGTGTGTAAGTCCCAATTAGGAAAAAAAAAAATCTACTTGAATTATAAATTATTCTTCTAGACTATTAATTTGTTACAATTAAGAATAAATTCCTACCTTTTTTTATTATATTTGTCATTTTTTATTAAATTATTTTTATTATATTTTCTCTTATATAAATATTAATACCATTTATCTGAATCTTATTATTAGTATCAATTTATCATAAAAATGAAAAGAAAAAAAAAAGATTTGTAACTACCATTTTCTAAAATAATTAACTTATTATTAAAATTTTATTATTAATAATAAAACTTTTTATACTCACTTTATACTTTTTTTTTTTACCATAAAAATACATTATTTTTCATTCAATATATTAATTAAAAATTAATAAATACTTAAATAAAGAAAAACTTCTTTTTAATACAATATATTCATTAAAAATTAAGAAATTACTTGACTTGTTTTAAAAAATTTACTTAAGATATTTATTTAAAAAATTGATTTCAAAAATTAAAAGTAAATGTATGCAAATTTAATGAAGAATATGTTATCAAATTAGTATGTTTTTTTTTCATAATTTATTTCAACAAGAAAATAGATTAAGTGTAATTCAATAAGAAATGGTATTTTGGTCATTTAATGAAATATAATAAAGACATTGGAGAGGTATTTTATAATTAAATGTGATAGTTTAGAGGATTTTATGCACAAAATATATTTCAAGAAGTATCTGAAAATTCTAACATAATTCGGGATTTTTTGTACTGTACCCTAATAATAATTTATTAAAATTTGCGAATAATAATAATAATTTATTAAAATTTGTATCAATACGGATACATTGTGAATATGTTATGCATATATTAGTTATCGTGAGTGAATCAGATGTAATACAACAGGTCTGAATGTCCACGAGCCTCACATGAGAGTTCATTCTGTATTGACGTCACTCACAGAAGAGTGTACCTAAGAATTGTCAAATAAATGCACTGTTACACCCATCACCATACATTTATTTAACTGGGTTGGGCTATATTGGATCATCTATGCGCTGTATATTCCATAATAATATAATAAAAATTATTTATTAATATTTGTGTCAAATACTCTCTCAATTCCAAAGTAAATGTCTCTCCCTCAAATCTAACTTTAATATGATAAATTTTAATACTTTTTTATTATATTGATAATGAATGAATTATTAAATATGTCTATAATGGGTCTACAAAATGTGATAATTTCTTTTTATAAATTTAATATAAGAAGGTTAAATCGCTAATGGTATAAAAAAACGTACTTAATTTTTTAAATGGGATATTTATTTTGAAACTGTCATAAAAATGTGAACATTTAATTAAGTGGCTACAGGGGCTGGGCCTAAGTGGGAAATAAATGCAGCTGGGGTTTATGTACTGGCACTGAAGTGAGCTTCTTTAGCCCCACTTAATGGAATTAATTAATTTACGGTAAATATGAAGTTGGAAGTGCCTGAGTTTACATATGGTGGAATAAACTTACTTACATATTCATTACATGTAATTAGGATATTAATTTGAAGGAAAAAATAAAATAAATCGACACTAGAGTATTTCTCTATTTTTATTTCAATTATTTATTGTTGTGTAATGACTAATGAGTCCATTTTGCATATTGAATTTTTTGATCATTTGAATTGTGAACATTTTCTAGTTTCTACTATTTCTTTTTTCCTTTTGGTTTAAGACCATGGTATCAACTTCTTCTTCTTGTTTGTTTTTTTTTTTTTTGAATTAGATTCAAGCTAATTTAAGAAACCCAATTCAATTCAAATCCGTTTTTAACAAAGTATTGGATCTAATTTTAAGATCGAATTTGAAAATGAGTCAAGCATGAATTTATCAATTGGAGAATCGACAAAAATAAGCAAATTTTCCCTTTTTTTTTTCTAAAATATTGTTTGGGATTATATATAAATTATATTCATACAATCTAATTCAAATTCAGACATGGCCACACTAATGAAATCGCACATCGATTATCTATCATTTGCTTTTGGTGCTCCTCCCATTTGCAATGTTTTCATGTAAAAAATCTAGCGACATCTACCAATAAAATTGTATCGAAGTGGAAGTCCAAAAACAAAGCCAGCTTGGACATTGCTTTCATTCACGAACTCCCTTGTCCATTGGCTTTGGGAATGCAAATATAACACGTCTATTAGCTATGCGCCAAAACCTCTATTCTGCAACCAAATTCATCAAACAACTCTTCAGACAAATGCATCCACACAATCGGATAAATGGAAGAAATTTAGCCTAGGTACGTGAATGCGTATAAAATAAGAAAAATGCTTCTCTAATTCAATTGGAGGGTCCAATTGTCGCACCGAAAAACCCTTAGCCCATGAAATTTAGAGTTGAACACTAATGGATGCAATGGTACTCAATATTGAGCCCCAATGCAGTCATTGCAGAGCTGAGTACGATTTGGTACAATGGTCCAGTGATACTCTCAAATTAGAGTTGCACCACTCTAAAAATAATTTAAATTATGTGGCCCCACCCACATAAAAATTATGGATGTCACTGCTTAGTGGTAGTGGGACCTATGGTATGTGAGTAATGTTAGCGACCGGAAATTCAGATAGCTATTCATATGGTACAACTTTCTCAAACTAAAATTTGTCATCCTAAATTTAATGCGCTGCTAAAATTAGAAAATAAAAATACTCAAGCGAAAATCTGTAATTCGAAATTGAATTTGGAGGGGAAATTGGAGGATGAGAATAGGTAAGTGGGGCCAGTTATACCTGCTGTTTTAGTTGTTATCTACTATTGAGTCCTTCTGTCAACTCAAGATGTGGATTTAAGTTAGAATTTGAAAATGTAAAAAACATGTTACAGTTAATAGATTTATAACTTTGCAGATTAGACATAACCTTTGTTACATGACCCCAAAAAAAAAATTGGAAATTATGATTCCCACCCGACGCACCACAAGGTCCACAAAGGGTCACCGATCACCTCACCCAGGACCTTTAAACTTCTTCTGCACTGGCACTCTCTTTCTCTCACTTCAATTCCCAATGCCCTAGCTTTATGCTACCTAAACATATAGCTCCCACCTATACCTTACAACCCAACCGCCTGTCTTTTTCCCTTGTCACATATATACCCTTCCTTGGCCCCTACCCTACTTCTCCTCAGTCACACGCATTTCTGTCATTCCCAAGATTATAACAGGGACTTACTTTGTGATTTCGCAACAAGACTGGGGTACTATCGTCCTTTCACTTTCGCTTGCTTACAACGAGGACAAAAACGCGCCTCACTTAGCCGCTACCCGCCATGTTTTCAGAGATGTTCAGCACCAAAAACAATACGCATGTCAAGCCCCACTAACCTTTTTGTTTGACTCTATCTCTCTCTAAATATATATATATGTATATACACACACACACACTGTATCTCTTTAAATAGATAAGTATGAGATTACAAAAACCATGCAAAAAGTAAACCATCTCTCTTTTTCTTGATTTCTTTGTTGAGCAGTACTTCAAAGTCCAAACACTTGTCTGTGATCATCATATATGGAGGGTGAGAAGTGCGTGGACACGTCGAAGTCCGGTGGAGTTCCGGCGAGTTCGAGGTGGAATCCGACGAAGGAACAAATAAACATGCTTGAGAGCATGTATATGCAAGGTATAAGGACACCCAACGCTGAGCAGATACAGCAGATCACAAGCAGGCTAAAAGCGTATGGCCACATAGAGGGGAAGAACGTCTTTTACTGGTTTCAGAACCACAAGGCCAGGCAAAGGCAGAAACAGAAACAAGAGACTATGGCTTATTTCATGACCCACTACCTTCATAACAATCCTTCCACTACTACTCAGCCTGTTTTCCCTCCTCCTTGTCCAAATGGTAATTTGCTTATATATATATATATATATGATTAATTACCAATTAATATCTGAAATATGTGATTTTGTTTAATTTACAGTTGTTTGTAGCCCATACTACATGCCACGTAGCGATTTAGGGTTCTACCCACAGAACCCCGAGGTGCTTCTACCTGGTGGCACGAAGAGGAGATCATCAAAACCAAAGAAAGTGGACAACACTTGTGGTCATGTGGTATATGAACCTTCTCAAATGGGACACATCAACAACATTAATGGTACCGACTCTGATCAAGAAACTTTGGCTTTGTTTCCTTTGGAGCCTACTGGGATTTTACATGCAAGAACAGAAACATCTTCTAATTCCACTACTCTTTCAAGCTCCTCTGAGACTACTGGCATTATTGAACAAGGTTGGGGTCATGACCAACCATTCATTGACTTTTTCTCCCGAGGAAATCGCTCCTGTGAGAGTGATTGAATGTTAAGGTCTTGGGTTAAGATTTTTATATTGGACTTTTCAGGAAGTTAGGTTTTTTTTTGGGGGACAGTCATGTTTTTTTGGTATGGAAAAGGAGGTGTGTAGAGATTTATCTAGCTGTATATCTTTGTTTGATTTGGTGGTCAGTTTACGTTATAATTTTATTTTATTTTTTCATGTTACCACTTTTCGCCCGACTTGTCTGGAAGGCCTGTGTTCGAGCCTACACGTGGTATTTCTAGTAAGTGGACATATAATCATAGAAATTCTCAATTTGCCTTGCTACAGTTTTTCAAGAAAAAACATGAAATCCTTTCACAGTAGAGAAATATAAAATTGGCTGGAATTATATACTAATGAGAGCGAAAATTGTTTGATATTAATGTTGCAAAAAGAAAAAAAAAATTATGAACAGGGGAATTTTATCTTATCATATCACATGAATTTACTGAAATAGGAGGAGATCTATCGAATTAGGATCCCAATAGTTTTCATATCATTCAAAAATATTTGAACAGTTGAACCATACATTTGAATTTCAAGTTTACAGTTAAACTATAAATATTGAAGTTCAGAAATTAAATTAAGAATTGGAGTTTTAGAATTGAAATTGATGGTAAAAAAATTTAGAAAATTGAACCAAAATTTCATCTAATTCCACCAATTAAAATTTCAAAACTTTAACAGCCAGCTGAACACAGCCTTTAAGATTTCACTTATGAAATAAAATAAAATTTGGAGGACTATAATCCATCGAGATTCCCTTCAGTCCACAAAATTAATCCATGTGCCATGATATATGATAAGAATTAATGGATTCAAAGTTATGTATTTCAAGTGTAACATAAAGACGTTTTCAACTCTAGCATTACTAAATACGGACCACCTTAGGGAACTTTAATAAAACTAGGCAATCTAGAGATTACTTAATCAAATTAATTATAATTAGTATGGTGATGAACATTTTCAAAAAATTTACTTCAAATTGCTCTAGCTAAATTAATTCTCTATGAAGCAAAAATGCATTTTTATGAAATTGAATAACTTGTGTTCAAATTAATGAAGATGATATGTAAAACTATATAATCAATTTTTAAGTGTTCCAAACATTTTAACTAGAAGTGGGTTAGGTTGGAAACTTAGGACCATATCCAACAAAATGGAATGGACCCATCTTAGACTTTCGACCCATCCGGGTGAGGCCCATTGAGAGAATCTGCCTCGAGCCCATACGGGGAGAGGCACAAATCCAACTAATTTAGACCTCTGCGTCGTGCCGTCGCCGTTACTTCTTTTTCCTTTTCTAATTTTTGTTCTTTTCTCCGATTGAACCGTTACCTTCACTTAACGGTCTCTTTTATCGTTCCAAACGGTGCTTAACACCAACCCTTCTAAGTACATGAATGTTCAAAGACTGCATTCATCCTCACCCAATAATTTACCTTCTAATCAATTAACTTAACAATTTTTTTAAGGAGGCACGTAATTATCATCCATCCTACTTGTACTGTACATGAAGCTTATTAAGGTTTTTTTTTTATTTTTGATCGTTTTTTTTGAAAAGTTCACAGACATTTTTCTTGTTATATTTCTAATCAATTTGATTATACTTATTTATTTTTATTTTTCTACTTTAACCATAATCATTTTTTATCCCTTTATTATGCACATATTCATTCAGTTTTATATATCCATGTCATCTAAAATATATTCCCCTGTAAATAAATAAATAAATCTCTCTCCTTTATCCACCTAATTATTCAGATTTAAATAACTTTTTCTATTATGGTCATGACTTCTACAAGGTAGTAAAGCTGATTCATTGCAGGTGATAATTCGTGTTCTTAGATTATATTTGTATTTTGTTAAGACATAGATATTCTGTTTAGGGCTGCAACTTGGACGAGTTGGGCAAGTTTGAGGTATAACTTAAGCCCAACCCACACCATATGAAATGCTCAATCCAAGCTCAACATTAACCATATCCCCAATTTTAATTACTCAACCCAAGTCCAATCCATCATTCTACTTTTAAATTCAGGATTGCAACTCAGGTAACGAATACGACACGATTATTAATTATATAAAAAAAATTTCAATAGTAATACGGCATATGTAACTCTTTTAATAAACGAATCAAAACTTACATTAACCAGATTAATTGAGTTATAAATAAATTAAGAATCAAATAAAAACACGTGTAAATTCAAATTCTCCAATAGTGAATATTGCTCGCATCTGGCCGAAATTTGAAAGTCTCTACCCGTGGATCCATGATTGTGTACAGTCAATCATTTTTTGAATGACAACTCACTAGGTGGACTATTTGAATTGAAGAAGCTAGGATCCATTGCTTAAAGAGTCCCTTAAATACTACTATTCCGTGATGGAAAATATTTTATATCCTTGTTTGCATGTCTCCATTCAAGCACTTTAAGGACTAACCTTTTAATTCAGTCATTTTTATTTTTGTTTGATGTAGGAATGAAAAATTGAAAGGAGTGAAAATAAAAATGAAACACAAGAATTATTTTCAATAGAGGATTAAAATGAAAGTGCCGAGTGATTGAGTTGTCTTACACTCTTCTCCTCTTCTCTAACTTGACGTGTAATATTTTTGTCAAAATAATAATAATAATAATAATAATAATAGTGTACTTATCACGGACACGGACACGAAATACGAGTACGATACGACACGGATACGGTAACACGACAAATTTTAAAAAAATAAGATACGAACACGACGGGGATACGCCTATAAAATTATATATATATATATATATATATATAATTATATATTCAAAATATAATTACTAGAACAGGTATATATAAATACAAAATTGTAAATAAAACAATAACAAATAACATGACCAATTTTTATAATTTCATCTTTGCTATAAGAAAAATATAGACAAGACAAAATAGAAAATAAATGAAAAAAAAAAGTCTTGTTCATGTAGAGAGATAATTGAAGAAGAGGAGAGACTGAGAGAGGAAGTGAGAGAAAATAAATTTTCTGTGTAATACTATGTTGTTTGTAGTTGTTTTTTTATTTTTTCAAAATTTTACTTTTAAACTTTTAAAATTAGTAAATTACATTAGGTACCCCATTTATCTTTAAAAAAAAATTACAAAATATACCCCGCCGTGTCCCTAGAGTATCCGAGCCGTGTCCACCCCGTGTCCTCCTCGTGTTCGAGCCGCCCCGTGTCCTCCTCGTGTTCGAGCCGTGTCTAATAAAAAATAATTTCTGGACACTTCACAGAAGTGTCGGACACGTGTCCGAGTCTCGGATACGGGTGTCGGTGTTCGAAAAATGTTTGACACCGATACGGGATTCTTGGGAGGAGTGTCCGTGCTTCATAGGTACTGATATAGTATGTTTAAATAACTATAAAGTATGAAATATTTTTGGAAGACAACTGTGTTATTATTTCTTTAAAAAAATACTAATTGTGAGAGAGAAACAAAAAAAAAGGCAACTATTTATCTCCTGTACCATAGGGAGTTAAGTGCTAAAAAACAAGTAGGACAGCTTCACAATTTTGGCAAAATATAGGGTATTACTGTTTCAGTATTCTTCAGTGTTCCCGAGGAGTTCTTATCAGATTGTTTGTGGCGTTACCGTCAGTATTCCCGCAAAAAATCCGTTTAATCAGACGGTGTATTTAACAGAATCCGTCACCGTTTATTTCGTCCTCAATTTTTCTCTGGACTGTAGAGGTGAGGTGATAGATTATTGGAGAGGATTGCTTGTGAAGATCTTCTGTCTCTGTGGATTCGAAACCAATCTTCAAAAGGTAAATCTCTGAGATACCCTCTTTATCCATCCACTTTCTTCTTCTCTTCCATAGTTTCAGATTTTGTAGCTCTTTTCAATTTTTATTTATTTATTTATTTTTTCCGTTTCTTCAGCCATTCTCTTCTTACTGTACATATATATATCTAGGGTTATTTCAAATTTCACTATTTTTCTATTTAGGAATTGAAACATTCTGATCTTGAAGTCCTTATTTCCCCTCTAAAGCGTTTTTGCTACATGAGTCCTTTATGGGGTGATTGATTTAGGGGTTAATTCAGTATATGTTTCGGGGATTTATTTATATGGGGATTTGAGAAGGTGCTTTTTATTTTTTTATTTTTTATGTTGGTGGGTCTGAAATTTCGTAGTAGCAGAGAACCACATAGTAAATTAGAGCAGAAATGGGGGAAGATTTACTCACAACCCTAACGATTGAGAAATATCATCCATCAACATTCTTATCTATGGATTCGATTGCCACTTCTCACGAGGAATCGGATCGAGACATGAATAGGCAGGTCATCCTTTCTCGGCCACCTGATATTAATCTTCCGCTATCGGCGGAGAGAAGTCCTCCGCCAGGGCCACCACAGCTGTGGAACCATGACAGCTATGATATGCTAGAGGTTGGCCTTGGACATCAAATTAACGAATCGGAAACACTACTGAATATTACTAAGATTGGGCGGAAATGTGCTAAGAGGTTGGATAGTGTATGGGGGGCTTGGTTTTTCTTTAGTTTCTACTTCAAGCCTGTTTTGAAAGAGAAGTCAAAGTGCAACATAATTCGGGATAGCAATGGGGTCTGTGGCTTTGATAAGTCGGATCTCCAGCTCGATGTTTTCTTGGTTCAGCATGATATGGAGAATATGTATATGTGGGTATTCAAAGAGAGGCCTGAGAATGCCTTGGGTAAGATGCAGTTGAGGAGTTACATGAATGGGCACTCACGCCAGGGCGAGCGTCCATTTCCGTTTAGTGTTGACAAGGGTTTTGTTCGATCGCATAGAATGCAGCGGAAACATTACAGGGGCCTTTCTAATCCTCAGTGTGTGCATGGGATTGAGCTTGTTCCGTCACCAAATCTTATGGCTATTGATGAGGAAGAACAAAAGAAATGGATGGAACTTACTGGCAGAGATCTTAATTTCTCTCTCTCCCCTGAAGCAAGGGACTTTTCGTCATGGAGAAACCTTCCGAACACGGATTTTGAGCTTGAGAGACCACTTCCTCCATTAAAGGGTAATCCGCATAACCCTTCAAGGAAATTGCTTAATGGGTCTGGTTTGAACTTGTCAACACTGCCATCTAACCAGGTAAATGGCAGTGGAATAGATCTCTTACCTGTTTGCAACAAGAGGAGGAAGGACCTCTTCCCACATGGGAATGATGAAGATTGTTGTCTGCCCATTAATCCACATTCTGATAGACTTCAAGAAATGGAGATCCACCCCATTGAACCACCTTGGATGAGTGAGTTTAGTGGGGTAATGAGGAATGTATATGGGCCTGTTACAGCAGCAAAAACTGTCTATGAGGATGAAGAAGGATATTTAATCATTATCACCTTGCCTTTTGCTGATCCTGAAAGGGTAAAAGTTCATTGGTGGAACAATCTCACTCATGGTGTTGTGAAGATATCATCCGTGAGCACAGCATGCATGCCCTTTGTCCAGAGAAATGATAGAACGTTTAAGCTCAGTGATCCATCTCCTGAGCACTGCCCTCCTGGAGAATTTAAAAGAGAAATCCCGCTTGCCACCCGAATTCCAGATGATGCCAAGCTAGAAGCATACTTCGATAAAGGTGGAACAGTTCTTGAGATTAAAGTGCCAAAACACCGTGTGGGACCAGAAGAGCATGAGGTTCCTGTTTCCCTTCGTCCTCCCAATGACTTTGTGTTGTCTTGAATGTGGCATTTGGGCAATGAAATGTAAGGGTAGCTATTATGATCAGTTTATCACTTACTATGTCCCAAAAAAGATAAATTTCTAAGACAAATTTTCATCCTTGCTAATCACAACTTTTCAAACTTTTGACTCATAGCGATTGATTTGTTTTTTGTTTTTTTGTTGTTTTTTTTAGTTTTTTGGGGGTACCTTTAGTTTGGGATTTGCTCCTGAGCTTAAATATGAAGTGCTAAGGTCAGTGGTATGGTAAGGACATTGGAACCTCATTGTTGATCTACTTTGTCTATAGTTTTCTGTTATCTACTTAATAGTTAAAATTGCATTATCTTATAATATTCCAGGTCTTTGGAAATGTTCAATCTCAAATGGTTTCTTGCCTTTCATTCTTCTGAAGCATGGGGAGTAATGTTAAACAGATGAAACAAGAAAAAGACATCAAACATGTGATGGTTTTTTTTTTTTTTTTTTTTTTTTTTTTTTTTTTTTTTTTTTTTTACCATTTTTTTGTCTGACCTCTCAATATATATATATATATATATATATTCCCGTCTTACTAATTAAATAAACAGGTTGGATACAGTATTAAGTTATGCAAATTGTGCAGAATATTTTTAGTGGATGTGCTTGTATTGAGAGTGTGGATGTTAGAGCTGGATTTTCTATAGTATTGTTTAGTCATCTTCCCAAGTAGTTGGATTTTGTTACCTTGTTTCTTCTCTTCCAAAAAGACTTTAAACGTAGCTAACAAATCTTAATGATTGTGGGTGATCAAACTAGAGATCCTTCAATCTCTCTTTGAGGCAATGAAATTTATAATCAATATTATGCACCATTATTTTGAGGTTGAAATTGGATAGTATGTATTAATTTTATCAAAGCCTGTTGTGAGAGAGAATCGAAGTGGCAGCATTAGTGTGGGATGTGCAAAACATTCAGCTTCTCTGCCAGCTTGGCCTGGTGATAGGTTGGTGTAATATATCAGAGTTTATGCTCATTGTTTTTCATCTGCTTCAGAAGGTGCCTTACTGACAAGAATGGTAACTGAAACAGGTTTAGGCGGTTCAAAGAAGAAGAAAAAATTGAGTAAGGCATTGCTTGTAGAGCAGGTTCAGACTTCACTTCTACATCTGATTCTGAATATGGCTCAGATGAAGAGACTAAAGCCTAGGTAAATTTGAAGTTGTTGTTCCTATATTTATCCAGAGTTAACTATTTGTTTTCTCATTCTATTATCCATGTCAACGAAAATCAAGAACTCTTCTCATGCTCCATAAACATGAAACCTGTTCATATGGTAGAAGGAACCATTGTAGTTGAATAATTCCTGTGTTGTACCATCCTTTCTATTTGGAGAGTACAACTTTTTTGAACTCTTACCTTTGTTTTCATTTCAAAAGCTGTGATGGTTGCATCTTTAAATTCACCAGGCTGAGACAAAGGTGTACTAATAGTGGGAATTTGCAATGGAAGGTTCAAAGCATGTAGCCAATCTGGAATTCTCCGGATGATCCTGATACAGTTGAGATTTACCTTGCATGCATCCCTTTGTTATTGTCAAAATTAGTGATGCATATAGGAAGACCAAGTAAATAGTTATTTTCATAAGAGTCAGAGTTGTGTTCGCTACAGCATGATCGTGACTGGATGTTCAACTTTGTGGGAGCATGGTCAGGAAGTGGTTCCACTGTCTCAGGCTAACTTGTTTCTGAATCAGATATTGTCATGATTGCAATTAATCATTGACGCTAATGGTAGGCAGGATCATTCATCTCGAAGATAGATTGAACAGTATATGGATACAAATGCTTTTCACATATTTGTTTATGTGCTTGTGCCTATCATACCTCTACCAATGGTGGAAGGCACGTGGGTATTTTCACCACCCCATTCATATCAAAGGAGGATGTTTTACTTTGATACCATAAAAAAAAAAAGGCTTTTCAGCACAACTAACTTTTATTTTTGTATTAACAACAATTGACCGATTTTGTTGCGTGTAATGGAAATGGTAGAATAGATAATTGTCTCAACTCATGAGCAAATAGTCAAAAAGTATATGTGGATTGGATTTATAGTTTTTATAGATTAAAAGATGTAGGTGAGAAGATCTTCACTAACTCCTGGACCTGATTTTTTACCATTTTAAAAATAGAGCACCATCAAATTATTAGATCCCAATCCAAGTATAATAACACTAAATTTGGGATCTCCAGTTTTTGAGGTTATATAAATTCTTTTCCCTTTACTTATCGAGGAAAAAGAAAAGCTTTTCCTTTTTAAAAATTGATTCAAGGTTTCTCACAGGATGAGGATGTTCTGGAGGAGGCATATGCTTCTTGTGGTAGCAAACAGCTCCCAGATTATTCTGGGCCTAGGAGGAGTAACTAGTAAGCGATCAGAGCAGAAGCATGTGGTATGAAAATGCAGTACTTAGTTTTGTGTAGTTCCCAATGAATGTTGTATATCTAATCATCTGCTCCATATTCATCATCTGAAATTAGAAATTATAGAATCATAAACTAGCATGAAATGGCAAAAAAGCAGGGAGGGAATTAAGGATAAATACATATTGTCTGGAAAAATATTGCAGCAAAGTCTGCAAGGATGCCTGAACCTAGCAGCTCTGGTCTGCTGGTACTTGGTGTTAACGTTATTCTCTCTACAGCCCGTCTATTGTGGCTTATCTGAGGAAGGTAACTATTTCCGCAAACAGGGGGAGGTTTGAGAAGGTGAAGGACAGGAGTTGATTCCGGTCTTTCCAAAGTTGCTGCATTGCGTAAAACTCATCTTATATTGAATTCTGTATACGTATCTATATGAAGCCTAAGTGAAATATGCTTTTGCTAGTAACAGATTGACTACTTTACTGCTTGAAATGTTGGTAGCTGGGAAATATACTTTGTTTCACAAGACATCTTATGGGCCATTTAGACGTTTTTATGAACAATAGTTTTAGACATTTAGTATTTAAAGCCTCATTCAAACCAAAAATTCCCAAGACAGTTCCTCTTATTCTACGATAATCGAAGCTGCAGCTCCACGAGTCTGCTTAGAACCGGTGGATTCCTTTGAATGTATTGTATTATTGTTCAAAATACTACCCTAAACATAAAAATTCCCACCTTACATAAATATGTCTAAACTCCATCAACTTTGAGGTAATCTGTCCCACATATTAGGCTGAGCAATTGCATTCTTTAATTCATGTCCTTGATGGTGGGCGATGATTTCCGACTGGGTTAGGTCCAGATGGGGCTTTATGAATCTTCTTCCTTTCAGCCTGCATGATGTTATCTATTTGGTTAAATTTGCATCCAGGTATCAAGCCATTTACATCTTATGAAAGAGCAGTGATTATGGGAATAAGAAAGGGAAACAGTGCTCTTTATACTTACCCAAGTATTTAGAATGTATGTGGTGGTCGGCCTTGGCCTGTGTTGCACAGGGCTGAGCTTGAAATCAACTATGATAGCAATTCGAGAAGGTAAGCTTAATTAGAACTTTTATTCTTGCGTTTTTTTTTTTTTTTTTGGGGGGGGGGGGGGGGGGGGGGGTGGACGGTCGGGTAGGGGAATAAAAGATGATATAAAATACGGTTGAGACTTAATTTAAAAGAAGATAAAAAAACACAAAGTTTAAATTGAAGATTTTGTGTATTCTAGAGTGAAACTGTGTAGTTACTACATACCAAAAAAAAAAAAAAAAAATGGAAGGACAAAAGAACTATGTAGTTAATGGGGAAGTAAGAGTAGTGGCTTGCCTGAGTCTGTAGCTTGAACCTTGATTAGAATGATGCAATAATGGTGAAACACTGAAAGCAGAAGCCATAGTAAGAGTAGATGGATTAGAGCCTGTGATCTCCTCATCTTGAGTATGAGCTGGTGCAAATTTGGAAGTGGATATCGAAGATGGTCGATAAATGTTCTTTTTTTTTTTTCTAGCTTAAAGGACAAAAATTCACTTATATGTGTTTAGCAATCATAACCGAAGTTGAAAAACATGGAATGTTTGTTAATGGTGCACGGTATCCTATGCCATTGTTTGGTGAAGTGATAACATCAGGAATCCGTGTTCTCCTCATTGTGGGTTGATTTCTCTTCAGTTATCATTGCATCCATATATGATGGATTTCGGAGTCTTACATTATTTTCTGTCGAGTGCTTGAAGCATGCAGTCGGCATGGGATGTAATTTTATAAAATGCTGCGATTGTTGTCTTTTTGCTGTTATTTTGTTTCCTCATACTTGTAGTTGTTTGATGATACATATAGATGCTAAAATTACATTAAGAAATAAAATAAATAATGTAAGCTTTGAGTTTTCTCCATTTTGCTGTCATAAAAGTTGTGGTAGAGAGAAGGATAAATTGTAGTCTTTACATTCTTTCTTCGTTTCCTCTTATCTTCTAGCAGCCAAAAGGAGCATTGTCGTTCACATGATATAAACTAAGTTCAACAGACAGTTTCCCAAATTTTGGGTCGGCTCTATTAAGGTTGCTTTGTTACTGTCTAGACGATTTCTTTGTGCATTTTGCTTATACAATTTTTTCTTTTTCAAGGCATCCTCTATTTTTCTCATAAAGTGATACTGGAAGCTGACTGTCTTCATCATGATGCTGGTACTCAAAAGCACTTTGACTCTAATGCAATGACTTGTACTCCATTAATATGCTGAAGTTGTCAATAAATTAAATTCTTTCTTTTTCTTTTTCTTTTTTTAAATTATTATTATTATTATTATTATTTTTAAAGGATCTTGGAAACTATTGATTATTGGTATACTTAACGGCTCCTGTGATTAATCTCTGTCCAACCCAATTTTAATTAATATTTTAATTGGGTTATTGGGTCATTGGTGTATTGTAGACTTGTAGTACATATTTTGTATTTATAGATGCATTGTCTTGTGTTTATTTGTTTTGATCATTTTTTTTTTTTTGTTTTTCATTCTTTTTACATTGCTGAGTCAGTATATTGTGTTTATAGATGCAGATTCTTGTGACCCTGTATTAGCTCAGCTTTGGCTTCCAGTTATTTAACCCATTTTGGGCAATATGCTACCAAAAAGTTGTATATGTGATGGAAGAATATAATTTGAAATGACTTGCATGATATGTTATCAAACGAAGTCACCTTTATAAAGTCAATCGATGTGTTATAGGCAATTCATCTATAGTGGTGTGATTTCTTTTCAGCATGCGTTGCTTATTATTGATGAATAAGGCCAACAGGGTCTGAGGATTGACTTCATTACAGGGCTACTGTTGGTGTTTGAGGATTGATTTCATATATATATATATATATATATATAACATCAAGACCATTTGTTGGTGGCAGGTAATCAAGACTCTAAATGACATTATTATACTTCAAAAGTAAGATATAATTGACACACTTTTTAAATTCTTTTTGAAAGAAGACAAAAATTAAGGGGCATTTATTAAAAAGTAAAGTGATATTGGGTGAGCCGTGAGATTCAGCATTTTATGTACTTGTGTGAAGTTTTTGTTTTTGTATTTGAAGTGGGACTCGTTCAATGAATGGTTTATGTATTGTGATTGGATGAGTATGCTAATGAAATGGTGACTCACTCAATACTTACTCGTCTGTGCATGTGTACGCTTGAAATTATTGCACAGTGGTGCTGGGGGAGTAGACTGTCAAGTGGGCTCGAGCATGCACCGTCCACGGGTTAAAGGATAAAACACTTCTGGGTATGCTTATGATCTTTTAGGTTGAATTGGGCTTAATATAGCCTAGCTATCTACCTTTAATTGGCCCAACAGCCTCAAGTATCCCAAGTTTGTGGTCCACGAAAAAAATAAACAAATAATTGAATCTGTAGCTGGTAAGAAAGCACTCCAATAAAATACAGAAGCAAAATGGTTACGATTGAACGTTGGAAGAGTCACTAAAACATATAATATCCAAAGCTTTGAAGGTTTATTAGCTAATTAGCGCATCTTACAAACCATCAAAGAATATAGCCTAGTGACAAAAAGAAAAAATCTCGTAGACGTGTCCTCAGAGACCCACAAAATTAACAATTCAAGCAAAATGACACATTGACTTGAAATCAAGTGAGACTAACGCTACTTGTACGCACTCTCTACGTACTAATGTCACAATGAGTTCATTTATTTAAGTCCAAAATTATCTGCTGCATGCTGACAAAACATATCTATTTGGTAATACCATCACAAACTAGTTGCTTGTAGTTTTCAATATTCATTTATTAACTCAAGATCATTCAATACACACCCGAACAACTCATTACATAATGATTATATTTATAAGTTATTATTTAAGTACTTATATATATATATATATATATATATATATTGTAAGTGCAAAATTTCTCTCTATAAAAGAAATAATACAATTCATAAAATAATAAGCAAGAATTATACAAAAAGATGGTAGAATTATGATAGGACTCGCCTTGCTTGTCCTCTCATTTATTTCATATATCATTCTTTACATATAGAGTTTTTTCCTTCTATAATTCTTTCTATGCCAGACTTTTCTTCTGTTTAACTTTCCTTTCATGTAGGTTCCTTTCGTATTGCAGTGACGTGGACATCTTTGACTAGAGGGAGATTTTTCCCTCCATATATATATTTTAGATATATTTTAGAATACGTGTATCAGTTTCACAATATAGTGCAACGCGGCTATGCATTCGGGCATTTAAATACTTATATTATTGTTCGTATTAGTAGGTGTATGTATTAATCATACTAAAATACTCCTACTGTTCAAATCCCAGACTCTGAGTCAATAGACGGTGCCAATGGCCCAATATCACGTGGCGGGTCTTCTTCTCTCTCTCATAATTCTCTCTCGCTCTCTCTCTCTTCCGTTTTGGGGACACTCATATGACCAGATGCTTTCCATGAAACATTGACATTGAAATTCTCTTCCAATTGCGATTCGAGCAAGTCGATCAGATTCTTCGATGCTTTCAAGATTCTTGATCATCTAATTGAGGTGAGAATTGAACATTTCTTGTTCAATTTTAACTATATGCTGGTCGTCTCTGATTACTTCATTTCCATCTTAAACACTTTCATTTGAGGATTTGTTTCATTTCTTTTTCAAGTTTAATAGTTGTTGTAGGATTTTCAAAGTGAAAATCATATCTCTGGTTAGTGCAAGCAAATTCTGCCTTGATTTTAGATTTCGGAAGCAAGAAAAGCACTTCCAAAACGATAAACAAACAATATGCATAAATGTGTGTACAGATTAAATAAAACCTACACTTTTTTTTTTTTTACCTGATTTGAACTAGGATAAGGTTTAGATTTAGGTGTTCGGATGCTGATATCGAAACTCAAAGACTTTGAATTTGATTAGTTTGCATTTTTAATGAGGAAATTCTCCACCTAGACAGCATTGCTTTCAGAATTTTGGAGGGCTAGAATTTTTTGTGCCATTGCATATACTATATATGTCTATATATAAAGAGAGAAGAATGAGTAATGTGACATTATATAAACTGCTCAGTTATTCAATGGTTATGGCCATTTCGTTTATATATATATATATATATATATATATATATATAGTGATTCAAATCATTTATGCATGCAAAAAGCTGAAAGTTTGGCATGCCATATCTTATTTTCAACTATCACCAAGCAAACAGGGTAGCAGATCCTTCGGCAAGTATAGACCATTAATATGTTGGAAATAGGGTGTGTTTCGGTAAGATGCCTAGAATGGGAATATTATAGGAATATAGGGGACATTTTAATTTTATCCTACCAAAAAAAAAAAAAAACTGAAGGATAAATATATTTTACCTAATAATTGGTTAAGGAACTTGTTTATTGAGGTTGACTTGCATTCTACTTCGAAAACTTAGTAGAATTTTTTTCTAACAGATCGTTTACAGGTGGTGAGTTTTGTCAATGTGCATGCTGGGTTATTTACTGATTATCGCATAATTACTGTGCAAACTTTATACGGGCTTTGCAAATTAAAACATCGTACCTATGAGTCAGGTGCAGACATTTCCCGCACCAGAAACTAACTTGATCATAACTCAATTGAATTCATGACACACACACACACACACACACACACTGCATCATCTGATTGTGAAGGTTGTTATGATCATCTATTGAGCTTATAGTAGTCTGGACTTCTCCATGTCAAATTAGTTCATGCATAAAAAGCATACATATGCTGCTTGTTATACTTTCTATTAGATCACGTGCCGACAGTATCTTCTCACATCTTACCACAAAATGTTGTTATTTTGTTGTATAAAAGTATGCATTCTATGGTATTGATATTAAATGCTACCTTTATAGCATCTTTCAGGGGTCATTGCTTGTGCATTAGTATTGTAATTAATTTGACCCACAGTATTTATTATAACATTTGGTTTGTACAGAGTCACCTGTCCCAGCATCCTTGTGGTTGCAGGACAAACACTATGTAAACAAAAGGAAATATGTTTTTACCATAGTAGGCTGTTGTCAAAGGTCCTATGCTACATGTTAAACTTGGCTTATAATTAGCTCAAACTCAATTCAACTCAACAAAGCCTTTTCCCAACAAATGCTGAATTTATTTATGCTTTTTGCAGGTTGTTGTTCCTTGGAGGCTTGGAGCTTCATTTCATGAAATTAGAACAGATACTGTTATTGTCCTAATAGTTGTTCTAAGCACGTGTAATATTCATTTGTATACTACCGCTTTATAAGAGATCGAGTGCTCCAGCAGTTTTAAGTAATAATTTGGGTGGAACATTTCTCTTTTTCCTAAAATTATCTTGCAGTTCATTCATTAATACAAACTTACCGTTTAGCACTTGTTCTCGATGGAAGACTCATTTCAGAGTACTGGTTCAAGAAGCAACTCCCGTGTTACAAGTATTACAACTAGTAAAAATGTGTCTAAAAGTTGTTCGGTTGCTTCTGGCCCCAATTCTTTCTCACAGAGATCTTTGAGGCTTGTATGCTCTTTCAACCATGGAAAATTCAGAAGGGGGACTGCTCATGCAACATTGTTTTTACTCAAGGTCGCTGCCTTAGAGGCATTACGGAGATTCTCAAAGGCTAGATGCCCAATTCTGTGGTGTAGTCTTCAGGCATTGCAAATGTTTTGCTATCCACCATTGAAGTGGATTCAAAGTTGGGCTCCTTTCAAGGGTTTGGTTAAAGGCATGCAGGTTATTTCTTATTGAATTAAAATACTATTACGTTTGATGTACCTTCTGACATGACACACGCATTTAGTTTATTCCACACGTCTTCATTTCCGCTCATAACATGTGTTGCATTTAATAAATTAGCCAATGCAAATAAGTCATACTGTCGTATAACTGTTGTTGAAAGCAGGTGATTTTTATAGTTCAAGGTGAGCCTCCTTATTGAGTCAAGTTGGGGCTGAGCTCAATAAATATTTCTCCTAATTGAGAAATATGATCAACCATGTCTCATTTATCACCCAAGTGATTTGAGCGAGCCTCCAACCTATACAATCACAAACCAAGGCTGAGTAACTTTAGTTGTCTTGTAGCCCTTAAAGGGACTCTATATTTATCTAGGACTCATGTAAGCTTTTGCATAATATTTTGAGCGGAGGGGGAGCAAGTCCTAATTTTTTGAGGGTATCTACAAGCTATATGTATATTGTTTAAAGAGACCTACACGATTTTTCATTTTTTATTGGGAGTTGGGGGGGAGTTTTTTGTGGAGGAGAAGGCGAGGCCTTTGCCAGCCTGTCCATGCGCCTATCTGTCCTCATTTTTTTTTTTTTAAATCCAAAGTAGCATCAGTGGGTACATAAGGCTTGTTATTGATTCTTTTTTTGTAAAAAGATTTTATTATAATTTTGAATCTGAAACTCAAGGGTTGTGATGGAAGTGGTGCTTTCAATTTTTATCCTGTTAAGTGGTTCTTTCAATTATTAGAATACAGTAGGTGTACAACTAATCACTTTTTATTAGAGAGGAAGTAAAAAGAAACAGTTAGATCCTTTTGCTGTTATTTCAACAACCAATACAGTCAGCTTTTGATTGCTAGACTTGCATTATTCTTTTATATCACCTCGGCGATGAATCAATCAATGCTATATGGGTTCTTGTGAGTTGCATGGTATGCACTATCTTTCTGCTAAGTTTACTTTTATATTTTATCAAAAATAATTATAAAATATGTTACTTGATTGAAAAAGATACCTTTCAACTGTCTTTTGTTACTTTTTCTTTTTTTAAATGTAATATTCTGCATACTCTTGATGGAGTATTTCTATGTTGCCAGGTATTATCGAGGCCATTATTAGTCCTTTCTATTGCCACCGCTTTCTTTGATCAATCAGGCTGTGGCAGCGACACCTCACATGATATTGAAGATATTAATGACATCAATGATTATTGTGAATTTTCAGAGTTGCAGACAGATATAACTTCTATAGAGTCCACTCTAGATGCAAGGTACGCGAAATGGATTTCAGAAATTTGCTTGCATCTTAAGAATGGATAGAGAATTGGTGATGGGCAATGAATTTGGGATTTCTTCCACTAAATGTCAAAGTTTATAAATAACCACCCTTTTTTTTTTTTTCCCTGAATGAAATAACCACCCATTTTAGTAAAATGCAAGAAGTAGAAGAGGTTGCATGTTGGTTAGAGATAATGGTCCAGAATAGGCACTGCATATAAAAATTATAATTTTCAATGCTACAACAGTGTTGTTATCAGCATTTTTCATTGGGCTGGACATATCAAGACTCAAGAGAGTTGCGTTCTGGACCCCATTGTGTCTTGAAGAAATCCGACCGCTACCCAAGGCTTTGATACGTCACAGTATGCTATACCCAATTAGACCTAGAGGGTAGTGAATGGGTCTTACTAAACCTTAAGTGTCAATAACCGGATTTGAAATTTGAAATTAATTATTGTAGTTAATGATTTGAATGCCGCAATGCTCAATTGTTCCTTTATGAAATCTGACTGATTTTTCAAACATAGAAAGATTGTAAAAACAACAATAATCATAATAAAGCAACCATACGAAAAGTTTAAGTGAAAAACTTCAACAGGTAAAACCATGTGACCTAGTTTAGGCATATCAAATCCATTACCAAAAGAATAGTTTGCAAACCTAGGTTAGGAGACTCTACATCCAAGAATTGTCATTTAGCTATGACCCAAACTCACGCCTAACACTCTCCTCAAACATTGTTGCTGCTAGTCAACGAATCCACTCCTCACCTGATCCGCTTTTTAATCCGTGCTTTCATCTTCATGACTAGTCATACTCAAACTCACTTGCAATCACCCCTAACCATGTGTGTCAGGTTAGTCCACGATAGAGGCTTAAAGCTCTTAGGCATTGGACACAATAGCTTTGGGTTGTGCCAAAATGCTCTATGCTAACTCCTCTATCCTCCGGAGGTTTTTTGTGTCATCTTTTATGTATGGGTAATCGGGTGTCTTTTATCATATTTTTTTTTGCTTAGCTGGTTACTTCTACTGATTTCATGTGCTTTGCAGGATTCCCGATGAAGCTCCCCAAAGTCTATCATCTGGAAATTGGTTACTTCAACTCTATGCAGAGCTGAAAATTCTGGGAATAAGTCTGCCAGAAAGGTAATTCAACAATTACTCCATAAAGGCATTGTGTTAAGAAATTTGTTGTGAGGCTCGGTGGACGGGAGCAGGTCTGTGAGAGGCAAGGCTTTGGTGCGAGTTACGTGTGCTCACAAGTCCCACATCGTCTAGGTGTGGAAATGTGAAGTGTTATATGTAGGTTCATCACCCTTCTATAACACAATGCATTTTAAAGCCGTGATGACCATGAACCTATCAAAACTTCGGAGTTAAGCGTGCTTGCTCTGGAGTAGTACCAAGACCCCTGGGAAGTCTTTGGTCTAGGGAGCAAAAAATGGACAATATTGTGTCAGGATAGGGTGAGGGCTGTTATAAATGGTATCAGAGCCTTACCCAGCCGGAAGTGTGCCGACGGGGACGTCGGGCCCCCAAGGGAGGTGGAATTGTGAGGCTCGGTGGGCGGGAGCAGGCCTGTGAGAGGCAAGGCTTTGGTGCGAGCTACGTGTACTCACATGTCCCACATCGCCTAGTTGTGGAAATGTGAAGTGTTATATGTAGGTTCATTACCCTTCTATGACACAACGTGTTTTAAAGCCGTGATGGCCATGAACCCATCAAAACTTCGGAATTAAGCGTGCTTACTCTAGAGTAGTACCAGGATGGGTGACCCCTGGGAAGCCTCTGGTACAGGGGAGCCAAAAGCGGACAATATTGTGTCTGGATAGGGAGGGCTGTTACATTTGGTCTGTTGATAGCTATTGTCAAAGAAAACTATTAAACAAAATGAAGTCATGAAAGTGTATATATATATATATATATATATATATATTTATACGCATGATGCAAGCACTATAAAGAGCTCTAATCATATAGTGATAGAGAAGTTCATGAAAAACATGTTAATGTAGCAAAAAAGTTTCTAGTTAATCTAGATAGAAGCATTATGTAATTCTCTGTATCACTTGATTTTATTGCATCAGGTATTCAGTTGATAATTGATACTAATTATTTATTTATTTGTTGAAATCATAATAATATTTTTCAGGGACCCTATCAGATACTATCTCTAAGTCGTTAGAAGTATATGAAGGTCTTATTCTTTTCTTTAAGCTTTCCATCACTTCTCAATCAATTGTCCAATTAGAAAGTGGACTTCCCTTGTCGATGTCCCAGGCACAAAGTCAAATTGAGACTTCAATTTTTTCTTATGGATTTTCTAGTTTGGACTGCGCATAATGAGGTTAGAGATTATAAAGGCTTAAGTTAACTTTAAGCTCTTGGAGCAATTGGTATTCTAACAGTGGTATGAGATGAAGTCTTTGGTTCAAGTCCCTCCATTAGTAAGTGTCATGCGCTAGCTTGGGTCGCCCAATATTAATCAGAAAAAACACTTCTCCTTTTTCCTTAATTTCATCAACATTTTCTAAATTTTTGTTTCATCAAACTTTTGGTCCAATTCTTTGTCTCTAATTACCTTTTTTTACCTGGCAACTTTATGTATGTATTTTATTCTCCTTTTTCTCTTCTTCCCTTTAACATATATCTTTCAGAAGTTTCATTATTCTAACAGATTTCCCTCGCATTCTTGCACTCTCTGGTGTTGCAGAAACTATCATTTGAACCTCATCAATTTTAACATCAAGACTTTTTTATGATGAACATTGTTTTAATCGAATTCTCTTTGGTCTTCTTTTGCTACTCTGCTGAGTACACAGTCATCTTATTCCGTCCTTTGCTTTCTTCTCCTTCATTATATTTTCCATCTTTATCTTAAATATCTTTAAGATCTGTTATTTTATTCTATAATGTCCACTTCTATTATTTAGATCTTGGGCATCTATCTTTTACATCACTTTCTCCCATCTTGTAATGCATATATTTAATAATACTAGGCTATTCTTTGTTGTCCTCCCCTACTTTCCCCTGGCTTTGCAAGCCTTACATATCACCCTTTATCGCTTAGATGCCAATCAGTGATTCCGCTAAGGTTACTAAGGCATTTTCTTAACCCAAACTGAGTTTTAAGCTCATAATTTTCTATGGTTCCTCTATTAAGTGAATTTGATTGATTACACACAATCAATTATTGGGGTAAAATAAAATTCATGCAAAAAGAATCTGAATTTTAAGTACGATAGACCCTTTTGTTTTTTCCCCCTAATTAAGACTCACACACCCACTTTGCCATTTTGGGTAGTTGAACCCTCAACCTTCTACTTTAGATGGTGAGGAAGTACTAGGCTACAACTCTTGGTGGTGCAACATGCCTTTTTACTGAATGTTAAATTTGTTCAGTGATATTGGTTTCAGAGTTTAATCTAAATTTTAGAAAAGAATTACACTCCATAAGTGGCATTTGTTCTTTTCTTTCGCGGAACATTCTCACTAAAATCAGTTTTACGCCTTTACTTTCCCATATGGATGGGCAATGACTCGTCATACGGTATTTGTGATTGCTTTTGCGGAAATGAAACAAATACCCAAGAAGCAGAGGGAGGGGAAAAGAAGACAATCCAAATTTGAACTTGTGCACAGGAGCCAAGAAAAGCATGCCACTTGCAGTTTTTAGTTCTACAAATTCAGCTGCTTAAAATCTCAAAACCAACTAATCAAGCACTAAAATCTTTCAATACTTAATTTTCAGCTTATCCAAGTCTGCCTAAATGTTCATTTCTCACTAAAATATGAGTTACACTTGATTATTGATTAGTTGGGAAAGGTATTTTTTTTTTCCACCATTATGACAATGAGAGAAACATTGAATTTTCACTAGCTTCTAAAAGTACCAGATTCTTCAAGAATTTAGACAAATCATTTCTGTGACAGTAGATTTTTTTGATGGAATATTAAAATTGGACCATCACTTACTGGCAAAAACTTCTGTTCAAGTAGAAGCTTCTAGGTTGACCAGTCAGAAATTGTACTTATGCAATTGTGCTAATTTTTAATAGAAGTAGAAGCTATTGCAAATGTTGGCACTACATCTTGAACTTCATAATGGATAACCAACTGAATGGGAACTCAGGGTTTACCGAAAATAATTGCTTGACTAAAAAATAAATATAAGTAACAACACTACGATAGGTTTGAAGCTTGGTTGTGCTTTGACCATCAATTACTCGAATCATGTCAGGCCCTCACATTTGCAGCTTCTGCATGTCTTTTCTCTCATTTTCCTTCAAATATTTATTAGGTTTTGACGACTTATCCATATTCCATCTTTCTTCACTTCTAGCTATTTCCTGAATTTAGCATTATTTGAGATAAATTCAGTGTGGAATTCTTTTTGCAATCTGCTTGCTAAGTATGCTTATTTTTCATTGGGAACTTTTTGTGCATAGTAACCATGCAGCAGCGATTTAGGTTCCACTTTTTACTTTTGTAGATATTGTATTTATCTTTGAATTTCTTGGCTTCTTTTGTTGCAGCGGAGCATGACATAATTGTGTTTATGCAGAATTAATGAGGATGAACTCCATAGATTTTATACTGCTGCGAATGGTGATTTTTCATGCTTGCTGTCATCAGTGAAAAAGACAATCCGTTGGAGGGAGACTTACAACATTCTTTCAAGACAAGAACTTGAGATGTGGTCAGATATGGTCTTTTGGCATGGATTCGATGTGCAACATCGACCATGCCTTATTGTTCGCCTTGGGCTTGCTTGCATTGCCTTGCCATCACATGACAGACCTCGCTTTGCTCAAGCTGTTGGTATGCCATTTTTCCCTTTTAATAAATTCTTTGTTTATTATTGTATAGCCCCCAGTCATTTAAAAATAAGGCCTTACCTTCAATGAATTACAAAAAAATAAAAAAGGTCCTAATGTCTATATTTAGTCGCATCATAATCATCAATCCAACAACTTTGATCAAAGAAATGTGGGAGCATCGGTGGAAAACTTGAAACATCCAATTACAAGGCTGCAATTTATTTCATATTATCTCATTATATACTGATTGGAACATTAGAATGAACTCCATTGTATGGCCATAAAGAAAATCACCATGCTTGACATATCCGACTTGTCTTGGCATCAAATACTCAGAATTGTCTTGCCTTTATATATTACTACTAGTATAGAAATTGAAAGGACAGTTATTGCAAGGGACATCAACTATGTTATCAATGCGGTTAGTTTAATTGATTACATCTAATTCTCATTGCAATGGAACATTTCCTGCTGCTATCTTCAATAAAAAACTGTATGTGGATACTGAATGTGGAATTCAAACTGAGAAGACAAACTATTTTTCATCATTGGCAATATGGGTTTAAATCTCAAGTGATTTATCCACTTCCTCCAGACACCCTTGTCCCAGTAAAAAGAAGGAAAAAAAAAAAGTAGTTGAAAAAAAGAAGAGTTTTTAGTTGTGTTTTAATTGCTCTGTCAGTTTTTATCCTACGAAAAAAAAATTAACCAATGAAGGGTTACAATTGCAGTATCTCAGGTAGAGCACGGGGTTCTGCATTTAGTTGACTCCAAAAATCCTCAAATTACTGTTTTGGTGGATTGTGAAGGGTTGTCCCCTTTAAGATTTCCCATGCAAGTAATGAGATCCTGTTCTACTCTTCTTCAAGATCACTTTCCAAATCGTCTTGGCTGTTTGTTTGTTATACGGCTTCCTCCTGTTGTTCGAGTTATTGCACAAACTTTCATTCAAGTAAGCTATTTACTCTGAGGAGTAAATGTTTTACCTGTTTGCTTTCCTGTTTAATTTTCATATTACAACTATTGAAAGACATGCAACTCTTGAATTTCATCTTAAAGCTTGGATCTCCCTGTATGTACAAATTATTTTGTGGCTCCTCCTCAGGATCTGAAACCTGTCACTCAGCAAAAGTTGAAAATCGAAGGGGAGATGTACCAGAAGGTTGTCAGCGAGTACCTTCAGACACTCCCATCATATCTTGGTGCCACATGCACATGCATGAAATGTTCAAACCTCAACAACAGAGAGATGCAACAGCTTCAAACTCAAATTGAGGAGACCAACAGAACAGAAACTGATTCAGATAGTAATAGTGGTGAGGACCTGCCCCCACCTCATTCAACGTGTCTAACAGATATGCTCTTGAATGGTAACTATGACCAGTTGTTGAGAACCGCCATGTTAGGCATCCTAATCTTGTGTGTTCTGATTGCTTTTATTGCTGAAGTATATGATCCGGAAAGCTATCTGGATTAACCCTACAAGGTATAAGTGGAAAAACCCTTCTCATTTCTCTTGTACCTTTGTTCTTGAAGGTATTGTGTATGTGTTATACAATCTGCTTTTGTATAGTAGTAAAAGCTGTACTAATTTTGTAATTTCAGTTCATCCTTGAGCACAAACCCCCATAACAATTGGATGAGATGTTTTGTAAGGTTAATTTCTCCGAGCCTGCTATGGCTATGAGTTGAAGGAACTTCAGATGTGAAGTATTGTAGGTAATATCTGTTAAACATATGTATTTAATGAGATGAAATCTCAAGACCTCGTAATTTACAATAGCTGCACCATAATTTTGTTGGTAGTTCTGTCCAAAGGCTGATATTGTGGTAAATTTAGTTGGTAAGAGGTTATCATACCTGTTGAAAGGAAATGGGCAAGAAAAAATACAACGAGGCTTGGGAGGTACCATTTCTTCACTTCGGCTCTGTTTTAGTATAGCATCGGAATATGGACAGTAACAGCAACACAAGAGCAGGGCAACATGTCCTGGTTATGACCATAGTAGGATTTTTTTTTTTTCGATCGTGGTGGTAGATATATGAAAACTGAATAGAAACCTATATTTCCAATATATATATATATATATATATATATATATATATATATATTACCTCATTGAGGCCACATTGACATGTATGATAATTCTTAGAAGAATGCAGGCATGGTAGAAAGGGTTTCATGAGATTTTGGGAAAGCTCCATCAAGATGTCACCTAATATTTTGATTGACAAAAACTTCCATGATATATTGAAACATGCAATAGGAATGGTGGAAAAGTACTGTAAACAAAGGTTTCCATTTTCAAATTTACATGTGTTTGGAAGCACCTAATATGTGTCTGTGATTTGGAATGGAAGGAAATTAGTTTAAAATTTGCATTAAAATTTTTCCAGTCTCAAATTCAGGTATAATCGGTGCGGTCAAACATGGCATTATATTTATTCACACTATATATAAAAACAATATAATATGACCCAAACAAAATTACATTTATGTTCATTCACTATATATGAATACTTAAAATGATAATGGAACCAATCGGACCATGGCCTAACTCAAATAGAAATCCCCATGCTTAAAAAGAGAAGGATTGACAGCTGTAAATTACTACCTAATGAGAGAGAAACTCAATTGAATGTTGGGAAGTCACACCTCACAGCTTTCTCAATAAACTCAGCGTAGTGTAATTATTTTGCTTGGTGGGTGAGTTTCACGCCGTTTTGCTATTATTTTGTTAGATCTGCTCCTGTTTGACTTTTTTTTGGCTCAACAGTATGGATCTGGTGTTTTGTTTTCGGCTAGATCTCTGATCTATGTCGGGTTTTGGTGTCCCCGCCTTTTTGTGCTGGGTTTGGGTGGTTTTTTCCCCAGTTGGCGGCGCCTTGTGAATGTAGCAATTGAGCTGTTGCCTTGATAATGGCCTGACCTTTGGGTCACTCCCGTTACTGCTCTTCTCCCTGGGTGGTCCATTGGTGTGTTTTGGCTTGTTTCTCAACAAATTGGAGGCCTGTTCTTCAGTTTTTATTGTCTTTCTTCTTGATTTGTTTGCCTTTGTACATGTGTTTGTAGATGCCGGCTGTTTTTTTTGCCAGTAAAAAAAAAAAAAAAAAAAACAACTCCTTCCACCCCATAAGGATGAGATGATGAGAAGCGCTAAATGTTGCATATTCAATCACTTAAACTTGCATTTTATAACTCCTTAGTGATACATGGTAGTACTTCTGCTATTTTCTTGATTTTTGTCTTTTTCAAGTAACCTCTAGAAATCCAGTCAATTCCATTGCTTTTATGGTCTTTTAAGTTCAATTAATGGATGGAGACCGCAAGAGGTAAAGTATCCAAGGTAATCTAATGACCAAGATCATTCAAGGATAATTCTGGAAGATTTTTAAAAGAGTTTACAACAAACAAAATTTCGTTTTGGGTCATTGCATGAAGAAATAAAGCTTTTATATTCAAATAAGGAAACAACTTGAGCAGGAAATTCTGAATTTGCTTTAGTATTTTAGACATAACTTTTTACTCGAAATTGGGTAAACTTAGTGGCTATGGAAAGAAGGCTCGAAGCCTATTGTTTTTTTGTCTAATAGAAATTTCTAGATTAGTACTTCAAATAGATCAAAACAGACGAAAATATAGAAGACTGCTTGGACTTCTTTCTTTTGCCGGGCTTTTTCTATTTCCCTTATTTGGGAAGAAACCCTACAACATATATATATATATAGAGGGAGATGTCCAGTAGAAAGGTGGAGGAGGACCAACAAGCCTGTGGCCTAGCGGTACCAGGCCCCTACTTCCCAAAAGGAGGTCAGGGGTTCGAACCTCAATGGAGGCATGTGTGTGTGAGTACCAATTAGAAGGAAATAAAATAAAATAAAATAAAATGGAGGCGGCAAGAGAAATTTCTTAGCGGCTTAGGGTTTGGGAACACCATTGAAGATTGAAGAAGAAAATCCTAAGGAATTTTTGTTGGTTTTCTACAACAATAATGAAGACATCCTTCCTCTCCATGAGTAGCTAAATTCTATCTTAAGGAATTGATGTAATCCTAACCGAGTAGCATGGTTTGATTGTTCTTAGTTTTGGGATTTTTTTGGATTATGTACAATACCTTAGATTTTACCTTCTGAATTTTGTAAATAAGCACTCATATTTTATTTCCAAAAGTTGTAATTGTCTCATTCAAATAAAGGACCACGTTGATTAGATCCACCCTCTTTCCATTAGGATCAACTCAATGTATAGAGATTGACTCTAATACCGATTGTGACATGTACAACGGAATAGGTTGTGAAAAATTGAGTTTTAAAAATTGTTTTAGATAGGGATTAAGCACGTGTTTCTTTATCCAATTTTTATTTTATTAAAATTACCGGTTAATTAACAATCACACATAAAATAATGAGAAAGTAAAGTTAGAGTGACACAGGATTTTAGCGAGAAAATCAATTGGAAAACCTCGAGGTTTTGTGCACTATCCCAAGCATAAAATGATCCACTATGTATGAAGCAAAGTACACCAAATTTTGACTCAGATTCAAACTCTATCACTTTACCACGACTCAATATGTTGAACATCCCTGACTTTGCGACTTTCCGTCCAACAGCTTTCGACTTTAGGCTTGTGCTTCGAACTTTGTAGAAGGATTGTTGGTAGATCAACAATACTCTGCAAGTGCCTTGATCCCTTTAAAGCGTACGTGATTGGAAATTGTTCTTTTTCAAATCTGAATTTGTTGTAGAAGAAGTAAAATCTGTTTTCTCTGATCGTTGTAGATGCAATCTTTAATAGACTTAAACACGATCAAGATTTGAACACCACCCTAAAGTCACTCGTGTTTATATAGTGTGTCTATTCTTAAAAATCTCACAAAAATGTTCTTAATGAAAATCAAAATTTTAATGCAAAAAGCCACCTAACCCTAAGTGAGAAAATATGTTTTTATAAACTTTTGAAACCTTAATTGCACTTGGAAAACGAGTCAATATCGTACATAAGCTCTTAGGAAAACTTCTATACATAATAGGAAGTAAAAACATAGTAGGAAACAAAATTACCAAAAATTGCTGTAGAACTTGAACCGGTTCAGCCACCTTTGAACCGGTTTAAGTTGGCCATTGTGTTATTTTAAAAACGAAACTTTAACACTTGAATCGGTTCAGCTGTTCTTGAACTTGTTCAAGTTGGCCAGACCTGAACCGAAGACTTTTACACTTAGAAAAAATTCGAAAATGCTTATATTTTTTTAAACATGCAATGCATGTAAGTGTCCTTACCTTCTAACTAAACTTCTTAGGTATTGTTCTTACCTTTTTCGAAGTTATCAAACTATTAATCAATCATGAACAACTCTTCAATTCTGCTTCCGATCTCGAACTTGAACTTAAAATTACAACTCGATTGGACTTGTTTTGATAACGAAATTCGCCAATTACAAATTCTTGAGACATTATTGCCTGAACCCAGGAGATAGATTGCAGATCTAGAGATACCTTTAAGAGGTATGAACATTTTTTTTTCGGTAAATTTAAGAGGTATGAACATTACTTTAACCAATAATTCTTCTTCAATTCAGTTGGAATATTGCTGGACTCTACTCACTCTACACCAGAATTGACCAAACCCTTAATCATATCAAGAGCCGTTTGCCTTTTGATTCATTAACTCTGCCTCTATCAAATGAAAACAATGTGATGAATTCTTTACTAAGTACCCTTCAGACCATTCCTCCAACCCAGAGAGATTTACCCTCTTTTTTCTTCTTATTTTGCTTCAAACTCCTTCAGAACAAGACAACAGCCACTTCTCAATTGATCACTCACTTAAAAATGGCAGGGGGGTTCTTCAGGGGAATTTGGAGCAATTGGGCGATGATTCACATAGGCAAGAAAAGGCTCACACCAGCCTTTAAATGCTCACTTTCTGTAGGACTTGCTGTGTTTTTGGTTTGCTGTATTACAAGGAAAATGGGTATTGGTCAGGACTGCCAGTAGCCATTAGCTTCGCATCAGCACGAGAAGCTACATTTAAGGTTGCCAATGTCAAAGCTCAGAGCACTGTGTTAAGAACAGTCTATGGATTATTGGGTTGCTTTCTTTTTGAAAAATTCATGCAAATTAGGTTCATGTCTCTTCTTCCTTCTTCATTTTCACCAGCTTTTTACGACGTAGCCGTATGTATGGACATGCAGGTGGGGTTTCAGCAACAATTGGGGCAGTACTAATCTTGGGTCTTAAGAATTTTGGTACTCCAAGTGAATTTAATTGCCACAGCCAGAATCATAGAGACCTTCATTGGATTGTCTTGTTCCATCATGGTAGATATTTTCTTGCAACCTACAAGAGCTGCTATATACTCTATCTAAATTTCAACTTTCTCAAAGCGTCCACGCATTGCACCAGTGCGTCGGCTCGACGAGTCTTCGTTTTGTCAAAGCCAAACTGGAAGAGAGTCAAACGAATCTCAAAGTCCATGTAGACGAGCTAAGAAATCTCATTGGAGAAGCTGAGGTGGAGCCCAACTTCTGGTTTTTGCCTTTTCATAGTGCTTGTTTTAGTAAGCTTTATGTCACGAAGTGATTCCTAAGACGCTTGGAGGATGGAAGACACCCATGCTGGTTGGCAAAGAGCAGAGTTTGACTGGGAATGGTTCCAGGGAAGGGGCGTGCAGGAGCACAGGATGGTACCTCTTCAGAGTTCAGGCAGGTCGACTCGGTTCAGTTCGAGGTGCTTGTCGCTAGTCTTGGACTTGACTATGAAGAAGGGAGTTGGCCATCCCTGCACAAACTGGTCGGGAGCTGGAGCCGTTCCCCTGACGAGGCCATGGCAGGCCGAAACCAGTCAGCATGTATCCTTGGGAGGGCAGGTCGTGGTGGCTGACCAGGGCGCTTGCGCGAGCTGAAGCAACGCCTTGGTGCCGCACGGGCCGTGCCACTGCGCCAAATCTCTAGGCCCGTGACAAATGGTATCAGAGCAGGACTTGGGGTAAAGCACGGTGGGGTGCCCCCTTGTCGGTCCGGGAGGGGTCAGAGAATGAAGACGGTGCATTGAAGTTGCGTCGATGTGGAGGAATCAATGCAGTTGGGGGGGAGAGCCTCCATCTCCCCAGGAAGAGGCGTCCGTTGAAGTTGCGCATTGAAGGGCCGGAGGGCCGCGCGCACCAAAGTTCGTGCTTAGTCCTTGGGTGATGCAAACCATGGTGAAGGGCGAGCATCAAGTCGGCAGAAGGCCATTGCTTGCTCGGGATGCCGCGGAGGCTGCATGACGGAGAAGAGTCACGTCCTTGAGGAGTGGACGTCCCCTTGGTCCGAGGCCTATCATTGGGCGAGTGCAGTGCAGGGAGCTGCACAAGGAAGCGATGGTGGGAAGGCGAGCATACCGCATGGAGGCAGACTTTGGAAGGGAGTGGACGCAGTAGTGAAGCGCCGCACTGCGACGAGGACGTCGCAGGATTTGGGTGGGGGAGAATGTCACGAAGTGATTCCTAAGACGCTTGGAGGATGGAAGACACCCATGCTGGTTGGCAAAGAGCAGAGTTTGACTGGGAATGGTTCCAGGGAAGGGGCGTGCAGGAGCACAGGATGGTACCTCTTCAGAGTTCAGGCAGGTCGACTCGGTTCAGTTCGAGGTGCTTGTCGCTAGTCTTGGACTTGACTATGAAGAAGGGAGTTGGCCATCCCTGCACAAACTGGTCGGGAGCTGGAGCCGTTCCCCTGACGAGGCCATGGCAGGCCGAAACCAGTCAGCATGTATCCTTGGGAGGGCAGGTCGTGGTGGCTGAAGCAACGCCTTGGTGCCGCACGGGCCGTGCCGCTGCGCCAAATCTCTAGGCCCGTGACATTTAGGTGTCTTTCATAAAGAAGGTGGATTTCCTACTCTTTGGAGCTCATGCAATTGGATTACTTGAACAAGAATCGAAGAAAATAGACATTGATTGGAAAGAAGCTGTAGACAAGATTGATGGTGATCTGAATTAAGCTCTTGAAGGAGACCAAATTGATCGTCTCTTAAAGTACTGCATGGAAAGAAACTTCAAGCAATTAAGGAACCTCTCTGATGATCTTTAGTTGGGAATTGAAGACCGACAAATCCAAATTAACATTTTAATAGTCCGTCTATTCTATCATTATAAATTTATAAGAGTCCAAAGTCCCACCATAATTCATATTCAGTGGAACACACACCACCCTCGTGATCATAACACCAAATATGTACACGTGTCACTAAGTCCCACGTGTCACTAAGTCCCCACTCATTCTTTTCCATCACTTGATTTTTAATAGCTTTACTTAATAAATTTTGATACTATAAATAAGTATATACATTAAGAATACATGGACGCAAATAAAACTATGTACCATATATGTGACTAAAAAGTATGTGGAGAATAATAGTACATGAAATTTACTGTTCACAAAATATAAATTTTTTAATTTAATTAATTTTTTTCTCAAATAAATATGCAAATTTAAGCTCAAAATAAATATTAATAACTCATAATAGCAAATAGAGAACCAAATAAAATTTCAAGATCTTACAATTTGGTGCTGAATTATAATGTTAATATTTTCTTCTTCGGTTGCTTTATCAAATTTACGCCTCGGGTACCCTGATTTAGTTTTACTAATTTTAAAACATTTTGGTTCTAGGATGTTCTCCATTTTTTAACTTGGTCACATTTGTGATTCTAGAATTATAAGCTTATGTAAATTAAAAAAAATTCTAAAAAAGTAGAGAAAAGTAGAGATTTTTTTTTGCACATAGCTAGTTGTAAATATCTAAATGTTTTAATAAAGACTTCTACAAATTAAGAACATCTAACTCATTCAATTACAATGCATCCTAACCTTCCATTACCTCACTAGGGAGGAAGATGTCTATATAAAAGATAGGAGTTATAGTGTATAAGTTTGTAGTGTAGGCACTGGGCATCATTTGTGTTACATACACATTCATATATAAACCATCTATCTTGTTTAAAAAAATAAAATAAAAAATTGTATTGTAACGAAAAAAAAAAAAAAAAAAAAAATGGCTATTAAAATAAAAATGTTGATCGCGGTTCGCGCTGCTTCTGGTTTTCTTCGTATCCAAGAAAGTCAGCCGCTTTTTGTTTTCTTCTTATCACAGGAAAGTGATTCAGAGAAAAGAAACGGAAAGCAACGGAAAATATAGAATACAAAAAAAAGACACGAAAAATACAAAAATAGCTGGGTGAATACGACTCGCGCGCTCAGAATACTTTCTGATTTGTTTTAGGTTTAGTTCATGAATATGTATATGTATGTGTATATGATCGTACTACACTTTTCTATCTTCTTGTTATACCTCACACAAAATATTTGTGTATATGATAGCTAGTTAGCAAGTTGTTTGGAGTTTAACTCAAACAAAATGAGTTATGAATGTTCATCCATTCTGCCTTAATTCTTTTGAAGTCAGTTCAAGCAAAATGGGTGACTGGATTGTTTGTTATGTGAGTATATGATTGCTTGCCAACAAAACCTAGCTAGCTGACTGTATCTGAACGTTTTTTTTAAAAAAAAGTGTTGTGCATGTGAACTTTGTGCATTCACCCACATAACCCACATAAAAAAACATGGGCACTTAATTATATAATGTATTGAAAAATGGTGATTAGAAAAAATAAAAAATGCGGCTGCTCCTCTCTTTCGTTCAGTCTAAATGTTAGATCATCAAATAAGAAATAACATAAGAATAAGAAAGATACATTTTCTTTAACTAACTTCTTCTATTATTATATTTGAAAGAACATAAGTGATACCCAACTTGACCCTTCCTCCTCCTCAAGGAAAACAATCTGATGCAAGAACCCAAAAAAAAGGTTTAGTGGAGATCCAGGAGTGGAGGTCCAGGAGAAATCCACTTTGATTCTATTTTAACCAACATTACTACTGGTAAATAGCTTTATTTCGGACAATTTTGTCTCTAGAAATTGAAAGACGGGCTTGATTTACCATTAAAAAAAACACAGACTTGATTTGTCAACCTTCAACTCTGTACCAAATGTTGATGGGTCAGGCTTATCGGCTTTGGCAAAACACTTCAAATGTTGGGTAATTCAGATAATCCATTTATATTATCACATTAATGGTAACTTCATGTTCTTTTTCAGAAGAGGAATCAATTATTAACACGACTTTAGAGTAAGATCTTTTTCGTGTATTCCCGTAATGCAATATTTCTGCATCTAATTTCATCCATATAAATCATTTGGTGGATTTAAATTTGTATAGATTACTAAAGTAAGAAGGCCCGTGAGTCATCCAATCTGTCAATTGCTCCCACTATTCAAACTGTATATGAAATCAAATTAATTTTAGATACATAACATTATATATATATATATATATAACCCATCAAGTGTTCGCTTTTTCTTTCTTTTTCTTGTACCTCTTTACAGATTATTTGACGAAAATGAAAAGAATGGAATAACAATGCATTAACTTCCATGCTTGAAAGTTTGAAATAAGTTTTTCATGGCTTTTGCCATAGTCACAATTGTATCATTGCAATTAATTAGTTGCAAATGCAGATCTCCTCTAAAAAAAAATACACAAAACAAAAATAAACTATCTGGAGCAATCCTTAATTATCGGGAATAAAAAAAAAAAAAAAACTATCTGGAGCAAAAAATTTCAATAAAAAAACTATCCAATAAAAAACCGCACAAATATATACTAATAATAAATAGATCTCAACATTAAGTATGCATTGCACCAAAATAGTCTAGTGGAAATTACCGAAAAAAAAAAAATATATGTCTAGTGGATTCTCACCCTTTACCAAACCCCCTGTCGATCGCCTCAACCATAAAATCTAGTACCCTCAAAATTAATTCTCATGCTAAAACCTTCCTACCTCATGAGAGCATAGGGAAAGACTGAATAGCACTCAGTTTTCTTCTCCAATTCTTCACCATGCCAATCAAAACCTATGATCAATCTAACTCGGCTCGAGCCATGTCCATGTGGTGGTCTTGCCTTGCCTCCGCCTTCCGAACCACCCTAACTTGCACCATAATAGGCTGCACCACCCTCTATGCCCCCGAGTCCTTCCGGCGCCATATAACTTACCCAGCTTTTTCCTACGTGGCGGCTATTCTGATAGTCACCGATGCCAAGTTAGGAGACACCCTGCGAGGCTGCTGGCTGGCGCTGTATGCCACGGTCCTGGGTGTGGGTCCGGCCATCTTGAGCCTGTGGGTGATAGGACCAGCCCAGTTAACCACCAGCACCACCGCTCTGGCGGTGGCGCTCAGCTCGTTGGTAGTTGCGCTTCCGGAATCCACCCACTTGGTGGCTAAGCGGATTGCGCTGGGTCAGATTGTTATCGTGTACGTGATAGCTTTTATAAATGGTGCTCACACTGACGCTGTTATGCATCCTGTACACGTGGCAGCCAGCACCGCCGTTGGGGTCATTGCTTGTGTTGCCAGCCTCTTGTTGCCGTTCCCAAGTTTGGCTTCTCACGAGGTAAAAAAAAAAAACAAAGACATAGTATAAACTATTCTATATTTATAGAATTCTTTTCTGAAAGGTAGAAGAAACATAATAAATATTTATATTTATTTTATATTTATAGAATTTGCTTAAACATTCCTAAACAATAAATAAACATAGAATACTACAAGTTTGCATTTTAGATGTCTAACGTGTGTGCATCCTACTCTTACACATAGCAGAAAGATTGCTACTACTTCTGCATAACATTGCAAAATGTTACCTTCTCGAAATATATATATATATATATACATATATTGCAAAATGTTGGTAACTTAAAAATGTTTGTAGATCAAACATGGAAAGAAAAATGGTACTCCGTATATAATTCGAGTCGGTTTATGTGAATCCTTTTAAGAAGCAAGTAAATCTCATATAACTCTTGTAACAGAGTTGATGTGATGTGCATCCATGCTAAAATTGATTTGTATTACTATATAATTTAGGCAAACAGACCATATCAAATAATTGACATTGGAGATCAAATGTAGAAAAAGAGACTTGAATTCAAAACCTTTCAGATTCAAAATTGTAGTGGTACATTAGAACACCAATCAATTGCCCCTAAAATAAGTTAAAATAAGCTTTCAAAGAATGAGTCATGTCAAGCTCCAGCACATAAAATACTATATGATTGTAAATTAGTGATGCTCCAAAAAGTAAAAAGTAGCCATTGCACCATGACCTATAGCATTAGTTATACTGATGACTCTGACCAATATTTTTTAATGGTGCGCCAAGTATATTTAATTCACAGCTTAAACTAATTTTTTTTCAATTTTAAATTTAAGCGTGATACAGTTCTCTCCAACACATATAAATGACTTTGCTCTCGGGTGCATGTGACATATATATATATATATATATACTGTAGCATTGTGCACGTTTGAGGGGGGGTAATTGCTACTTTTTTTCCAGGTAAAACAGAACTGCAAGCTTTTTGCAGACAACGCTTCACAGAGGCTAAAGCTCTATGTGAAGGCATTCTGTGCAGAAGACAGCACATCTGGACTAGCATTGATATCTCAAGCAAATTCCTTGGCTGTTACAGGAACCAAACTTCTCCAAGCTATTAAATGCAAGCAAGTAAGCTAAATAATAATAATAATTACTATGAACAGTGGATGGTGAATTTTGAGTTACATTTTTTTTCTTAAATCATAATTAACAGGAAAGCATGCAGTGGGAGAGACTTCCAATCAAATTCTTGAGACCTTATTGCATGAACCCAGGAGATAGATTGCAAGATCTAGAGATACCTTTAAGAGGTATGAACATTGCTTTAACCAATTCTTGTTCAGTTCCAGTTAGAATATTGCTGGACCAAGACCTCAAAAATGGTCTACTCACACTACACCAGAGTATTGACCAAACCCTTAATCATATTAAGAACCGTTTGCCTTTTGATTCATTAACTCTGCCTCAATCAAATGAAAACAATGTGATGAAGTCTTTCCTAAGTACCCTTCAAACCATTCCACCAACCCAGAAAGATTTACCCTCTTTTTTCTTCCTATTTTGCTTGAAACTCCTCCATAACAAGACAACAGCCACTTCATCAATTGATCATTCACCTAAAAAGGATAGGTGGTTCTTCAGGGGAATTTGGAGCAATTGGACGATGAACATAAGCAAGAAAAGGCTCATACCAGCCTTGAAATGCTCACTTTCTGTAGGACTTGCTGTGTTATTTGGTTTGCTATATAGCAAGGAAAATGGGTATTGGTCAGGACTGCCAGTAGCCATCAGCTTCGCATCGGAACGAGAAGCTACATTTAAGGGTGCCAATGTCAAAGCTCAGGGCACTGTGTTGGGGACTGTCTATGGAGTATTGGGTTGCTTTCTTTTTGAAAAATTCATGCAAATCAGGTTCATGTCTCTTCTTCCTTGGTTCATTTTCACCAGCTTTTTAAGGCGTAGCCGTATGTATGGACAGGCAGGTGGGGTTTCAGCAGCTATTGGGGCAGTACTAATCTTGGGTCGAAAGAATTTTGGTACTCCAAGTGAATTTGCCATTGCCAGAATCATAGAAACCTTCATTGGATTGTCTTGTTCCGTAATGGTAGATATTCTCTTGCAACCTAGAGCTTCTACTCTTGCTAAATTTCAACTTTCTCAAAGTATCCAGGCATTGTACCAATGCGTCGATTTGATAAGTCTTCGTTTTGGCAAAGCCAAATTGGAAGAGAGCCAAAAGAAGCTCAAAACCCATGTAGATGAGCTAAGAAAACTCATTGGAGAAGCTGAGGTGGAGCCCAATTTCTGGTTTTTGCCTTTTCATAGTGCTGGTTATAGTAAGCTTTTGGTGTCTTTGTCAAAGATGGTGGATCTCTTACTTTTTGGAGCTCATGCAATTGGATTGCTTGAACAAGAATCAAAGAAAATAGAAATTGGTTGGAAAGAAGCTGCAGACAAGCTCGATGGTGATCTTACGCTCTTGAAGGAAGTGTGTGGCTTTTCAACAAAATGTTTTGAGGAGACCAAATTGATCACATCTCTCGAAGTGCTTGAAAAGAAGCTCCAAGAGAGGTACATCTCTGATGATCTTGAGTTGGGAAGACGAACAAATCCAAATACTTTTAGTGTCTCTGCTTCAGATCATGAAGAAGAGATGGAGAAGATCATAAGTTCTTATCTTCAACATTCAAAAGAAGAAGTTGATAGAATCCATGATATTGAGGGTGAGTGTGAGTTCAAGAGCCAAGTGGTGTTAAGTTTGGCTGCTCTAGCATTCTGCATGAGTGGTTTAATTAAAGAGAGAGGAGAGATTGAAAAGGGTATTAAGGAAATTATACAGTGGGAGAACCCTTCAAGCCACATAAATTTGTAAGAAAATTCATGTGAGATGCAAGCCTCCTTACATCCATGCAAGTGGGCACTAGGCAGTGGAACTTCAATGCTCCATCTCCATGTTAGCTTCTTATTAGCCTCATTATGCCCTGCTGATGGTTGTTTCCATTGTATCTCTGTTCTCCCAAGGGAGTTTGTCTCTCCATTTTAACTCTGTTCTTCCTAGGGAGTGTGTTCTATCTTGGTTTCTGTAATTTTAATATATACCAATACACCGACTTATCTTACCAAATATATATATATATATATATATTGTATGCACAAGGTTGTCCACCCAACTTTATCTATAAAAAAAAAAAAAAAAAAAAAGCTATCCACCCAATGAAAATGCACCATTTAATAAAAATTATTTCATTTATATATTTATGAAAAATATTTTTAACAAGCTGATTATGGCATTTTATGAGTGAACATACTAGTATATTTAGTACTCAATATATTTTTAGTTGTATGCAGTGATCATATAACAAATTTTTTCAAGAAAATTTTTGAGGGTCTAGTCTCAGTCCACTGTCTGACTAGGGTTCAAGGCGAAAATTGACTATAATAAAAAAAATTGGTGGGCTTGAGCCCATCCCAAGATACGCCTTTGCTTATGTGATGTATTACTATTTAATTATTATGTTATACCATGTCGTCACAATACTTAAAATATTTAAATTTGTTATCAACTTCAAGCCACCTAGGTTTTGAATCCAATTAGTGGTTTCAATTGAGTATACATTGAAGATCAATAATCACTAGAAGTTCATGTTTTTGAGTTTAAGTTAACCAAAAAAAAAAAAAAAAGTTTATCGACCATTACTGGTATACTTGGGCCGAAATACTAACATAACGACCTATAGTACCCAAGCCTAGCCCAACCCATCAGCTCAATCATCTGGGCTTTACCAAAGCCAGGCTTGGGCTAACCGGATTCCGGGTCTCAATGATGGAACAAGCCCAACGTGCTTGAGTTTGGGGTCAACAGGATCCAATTAAATAATGCCCTCACCTTGTTGTCTACACCTGTGTATCATGCACCCTCAGAGTAATACTCCCTCTTTTTCATTTTAGATGTTGTTTTGAAAAATGTGACTCACAAAATGAGACAGAAGTAGTATTAAACTCCACGTGGCAACAAATGGAACCATCACAATATAAAAGAAGAAATGCGGGACAGTATCGTATTCCACACACTGCTTCTTTTGTACTCCAAAGTCCTGACCCACCAAGGACTCTATACAAAAGCATATTTCTTCACGTCTCTCGATCCTATTCAAAAATTCATATATACTATATCTGTATATATATCTATCTATCTATATGTGTGAGTATATATATATATAGGTTCTATAAAGCTACTTTTTTGTGAATCTCAAAACCCTTGATTTTCTACTACTAATTCTCAGAAGGTAACCGTTGAATTCAGATTTCATAATTTCTTATTAGTTTGAGTTTGTAGTATAAGTTTGGTGTGGTCTCTATTTCGATCATCGTTGTTGAGGAGCTATCATTAATTTTGGTGTTTCGTGAATTTGAAGTCTCTTTTTATTTATTATTATATTTTTCAATTATGTTGCACTCGAGTTGGCAGTGTTTGGTGGTAGAAGTTTCCATTTTTAATTATTAATACACTGTAGGTGTGTATATAGCTATATATAAGCTGTTGATCTTTGCGTTTCTTGGATCAATACAGAAATTAGGGTTTTGAGTGTTCTTTTTATTCTCACGATTAGGTTTGTCTTGTTCTATTCTTATGTTTCCTGATCTGTAATGTGATCATCTCAAATACATATGTACATGTGAAAATGATTTTAAAGTTTTTAAAATTTTTGTTTCTATTTGAAATTGGATATAAAGAGTAGCTTGATATTTCTGGTTGAATTGCCTCATTTTTTTTTTTTTGAAATATACATACATAGATATGTAGAAGACATTAATTGTATGAAATTGGCAAACTGTGGCAGAGTATTGAGTTCTGTTAGGGGATCTACGCAATGGCAAAGAATTCTTCGAATGGTGATCACATAACAACCACAAAGCAGCCTCCAAGCCCATCTCCTTTGCGAAATTCGAAATTTTTTCAGGTAAAGTTAATTGTTGGAATGCAATTGTTTCAAGTTATAAAACTATGTTTTTACCATTTTGTTAATACATAGTTAGCTTTGGATTTTGGCTTCGCTTCTTGTTATTGGTTGATTATGGTTGGAAATGAGATGGATAGCCAGTCAGCATGAAAGAAATAGTGAAATTGTTATTTTTTTTCTATTTATTTGATCTCCTAGACCTAGTGAAATTCATTAATGGTCAACATTGTTAGATGCATTTAATACTTCAACCCCCCCTCCCCCCCGGTGTATGAAAAAAATTTGTACTTCATAAAATCAATAAATGTAGTAGAGCTTAGTCTAAGCATTGAAGACTAGTTGTGATTTGGACATCTATGTGTCCCAGAGTAAATGGTGAAACAGCTATGTTCTTGATCTTTGATTGATTAGCCACAGAGCATTATGACTACCATATGATTTGATGGATAATTCATCCTATTGTATAATAATAGCCGATTAACCAACATCACCGTACCCACTATATTTTCATAGTTATCATTTTTTGTGCCTCCATATCCTTGTCAGTACTAACTTGTGTTCTTGGTGGCAGTCCAATATGAGAATTTTGGTTACTGGTGGAGCTGGCTTTATTGGGTCTCACCTAGTAGACAGACTGATGGAAAATGAAAAGAATGAGGTGAACATTACTTTCTTTCTTATCTAATCTCAAGTCTCTTTGTTAATTCCTAAGAGATGCAATAGGAATGTGATACTTCCATTATAACAAGCACCCATCACCATTCAACACCAACTAGAAAAAAATGAGAAGGTGATTTAAAAGGTTGCGACTTGTGATGTTACATGTAAATAATGAATAATATATTAACAATTTGTATATGAATTTCAGGTAATTGTTGCTGATAATTACTTCACTGGTTCAAAGGACAATCTTAAAAAATGGATTGGTCATCCAAGATTTGAGCTTATTCGTCATGGTACTTCTCTATCATATTCTCTGTTAGTGTAGTCACTTATGTATCTAGTACTCTTGCGGCTATGCAAACCCTAATTTGTTGCACGTTCCACGATATCCCTATATACATAACCTTTTTTTCCCTCATTATACTGTATTATTATCTTTTGTAGATGTCACAGAGCCTTTGTTGGTTGAGGTTGATCAGATATACCATCTTGCATGCCCCGCTTCTCCAATTTTCTATAAATACAATCCTGTGAAGGTGTGTATATGAATGTCCAATATTTACTTATCATTTGTGCAGTTCATTACATTTTCTGTGATATATCATATACTGGTCATCTGATGTCCTCTCTCAAGTGTGAGCTGCAGCACTTAAACTTTCTACTCATTGTTAGATGTAAGCTGCAAGCATTGTCATTCTATTGCACTAACGTAGTAGATGACACAATATCTAACCAGATCTTTTTTTTCCCTCTTACCCCATCCTATTATTGTTTGCTTCCTTGCTTTTTCTGATTTCACTTAAAGATCGTTCATTATGTAGTAGACTAGCAGCCAGTTATCTAAGCATAACCTCTGCTCAAAATTAAGACAGTAGATTTTTGTCCCAATTCCATCAAAATAAATTAAGAAAAGGAAAAAAAGATGATCTAAACCACGAATAAGGAGGAATGCAGATATGCTTCAGCTGTCACTGCGTCTGCATTTCAACAATCACAAGCTTGCAATTGTTTACCTACCATGTTCATCTGGTGGTATGTTGTGGTTTTTGTTCTCATAGCTTACAAGGTCATGCTGATTGTTTGTAAAACACAAAATTCATCAGGCATTTATTTTGGCCACATCCATGCCAGCTAAGATAGTGCCATCTTCAGCCTCAAAACAACATAAGCAGACTCTTTTATTCATATGTCCTATCATCTATCTTGTTTCATTTTTACGTTTAGAATTGAATAATTTTGTGCTTATGCCTTGTAATGTAAATTTAAGAAATGGTCTAATTTGTAAGAAAATGATACTCTACAGACGATAAAGACAAATGTTATCGGCACATTGAACATGCTAGGACTTGCCAAGCGAGTCGGAGCAAGGTTGGGACACTTGACTTTGTATTTATTTTGACGAACTTGAATAGGTGTCATCTATCTTCTCGTTTTACTCTTTCTATGATAATGTTGTACAGGATTTTGCTTACATCAACCTCAGAGGTATATGGTGATCCTCTTATCCACCCCCAACCTGAGAGCTACTGGGGTAATGTTAACCCAATTGGTAAGTTTATTTTGCATCATAATTCGGTGGCCATATCTATGCATATGAGAAAGCAGAAAGTTTGTTATTTAATTATATTTCTGTTTGCAACATTTTAAACTTCTTTACTATTTGCTTTACATGAGTAAAGGCAAGCACAGTTGATGACTGTGAACTGTACAAGTAAAACTAATTTTTTATTTAAATATTTTTCAAATGTTTACATGTTGAGCATAATATGCCATTGTAGTTGCCATTTATAGGCCGTTTTCTCTTAGTCTCAAGTTAATATGATGGCAGCACAACCAGTGTTGTGAAACTTTATTCAATTGTAAAAAGATAAACTTCAAAAAATTGTGATGATATATGTACATATGGAAGAACTGAAGTCCTGTTTTAGTGTTTCCGTCATGTTGCACTAACCGATGCATCTGTCTCCATTGCCACTGAACATCCATGCCAAACAACTTAATACCATGCCAAATATTAAGACCTGCCCTTATGCCCATATTGCACGGTCCATGACAAACAAGGGCGAATCCAGAAATTGTTAATGGGGTGGGCTAATGCTAGTAATAATTTTTTTGGCTGGGCTAATACTGTAATATATATATATATATTGGCTGGGCTAAAATCTACTATAGTAGTAACTAATCTAGAGCATATTTTGAAAATATTTCAACTTGCAATGTAGGAGTTCGGAGCTGCTATGACGAGGGAAAGCGCGTGGCTGAGACATTGATGTTTGATTATCATAGGCAGCATGGGATTGGTAAATATGTTGCTTCTTCACTGAAAATGTGGTTTTCCCTACATTAAACGTTTCTGATGCGTGCCATTTCCCTTCTCTATTCAGAAATACGTATTGCTAGAATCTTCAACACATATGGGCCACGTATGAATATTGATGATGGTCGTGTTGTCAGCAATTTCATAGCTCAAGCGCTTAGGTAAGTCCTTATCCAGTCACATGGCTTTTAAAAATACCAGCAACTCAACATCTTCTTTTTCAGTTACTTTTTTTTTTTTAAAAAAAAAGTAAAAGCTTCGCTGTTCTGATTTGATAGAAAGGTTGAGTCAAGGACCCACAGAAAGAACATTGTAGTCCATCCTCTTGGCAAGTAACAAAAAAAATAAATAAATACCAGCATCTCGATATCTTCTTTTTTAGGTACTTGCCAAGAGGATGGACTACAATATTCTTTCTGTGGGTCCTTAGATGACTTATGGCTTTTAAAAATACCAGCATCTCGATATCTTCTTTTTTTTTTTTGTTACTTGCCAAGAGGATGGACTACAATGTTCTTTCTGTGGGTCCTTAGGTGACTTATGGCTGTTTCAAATTTACTCAACCTTTCTATCAAATCAGAACAGCGAAGCTTTTGCAATGTGAAGAATTGATAAAGTGTCTAACATGGAGACCTTAGAGAAACAGAAAACACTCAACTATTAGTACAGTACCAATACTGATATTACTTATAAAATAAAAATAAATAAATAAAACACAGTACCAACACTGCTGTTACAAATGTACATGTGTATTGATACAATAATGCTAAATATATGTTTGTTCGTACATTGCTCCCCTAGTATTGCAGTTCTTTTTTAATAAGTATCTTCACTAAAGTCTAAAACCCATTTGCGGTATCTTTTAATTCTGGAGCCATCATTTTTTTCTTCAATTTGCACTTTGTAGGGATGAAGCATTGACGGTTCAAGCTCCTGGAACACAGACTCGCAGTTTCTGTTATGTCTCTGATATGGTATGCAAGATATATAATATATGTGTATATATTATTTAAGAATTTTATGCCCATGGGATTGATTGTGCATTGGGTATTCTTGACCATTTATATAGTGCTCAATTTTTTTCTCGTCAAATTGTTGAAGGTTGATGGCCTTATTCGGCTTATGGAAGGCGAGAACACTGGGCCAATCAACATTGGAAACCCAGGTTATTTTACGAACTGTTATCTAGAAATATTGTGGTTTTCAGAGTAAAAGTTCTATCCAAACTTCTAAATGATTATCACTGATCTGGCTCTTGTTCACCAGGTGAATTTACCATGCTTGAACTTGCTGAGACAGTGAAAGAGGTCAGTTTTATTTTTTGGTGTCTATTTTTTAACTTATTCAAACGTTTGATATTTTTTTCTTAGTAAGCCATATTGATTCGATAACCAACATTCAGTAGTTGAGACAACTATCAGATTTTCCTTGGACTCAAATGATTTTTCTGATAAATAACGATGAGAATAGAAAGGGTCCAAAGTAACACTATAAACTTCTTCAGTGCTTGAGATTTGGATTTTGATTTGGTGCTTGAAACTAAAGGACCAAATCGAGTTGCCTTGGAGGAATTAAATTATTTATGTAGTTATTAATGATATTTAAGATTCTTTTAGCTGACTGGGACAACTTCTGATTAGTTCTTCGGAACCATAGTTACGGGCACAAGGCTTAAAGGCAAAAACACTCAGCGAAACGGTTACACCATTTGTGTATGTCCAACTAGATTACTCTGTTCTTGCATGTACAGCAAGATTCCAACATTGCTTTTTGAGACAAGTGATTTCAATCCAATTGAAACGAAATATTGGCTATGTGCCATTAATGTCCGATTTTGTTGACTTGCAGCTTATCAATCCTAATGTTGAGATAAAAATGGTTGAGAACACTCCTGATGATCCAAGACAGAGGAAACCAGACATCACAAAGGCAAAAGAAACTCTTGGGTGGGAACCAAAAATCAAGTTGCGTGATGGCCTTCCCCTCATGGAGGAGGACTTTCGACTGAGACTCGCAGTCCCCAAGAAGAAATGAACAAACATCTCAAGGGAGTTGAATTTGGCAAGTCATTTTTCCTTTGGTACATGGTGTGTTTCCTCAGCATGTGGCATCTTTCTTGTGCTTTTATTTTTCTAATTTACATATTTCATCTAAGTAAATGGTTGTGAGTTTTTTTCTCTCCTTGAAATTTTGGACTCTGAGAAACTGTGAAACTTTGTTTTCCTTGGTTAGGAAATAATGCTGCATTCTATTGCCCCATTCTTTGTTGGCTCCGGCTATTTAATGAATGAGAATTAAAAAATACATGTGAAACTCCTCTTTGTTGCTTTTTCCCGAAAAGGGAAAAAAAATTTAATTCAAAATGGGTTAAGTATGAATATCATTTTATTAATCCAATTTAGTGTAAGAATCTCACTCTTGATCATCATCATGCTTAATAGTAGTGTGAGAGAGAGAGAGAAGGGGAGAGGAACAGAACGGATGAGATTAGGGCTTCCACAGGATAGAAGCGTGAGAAAGAGGAAGAGGAGAGAGAATTATAATTTGATTCGGATCCATTTGCGTTTAACCCATATAACTATCAGATTTTTTATTTTTAATTATTTTAAATATGAGAGCACTTGTCATTTTAGCATTGCACAAGTTTCCTACTTACCGGTGAGTAGGTAAGTATTGTCCATTTTGTAAAGATGCCTAATGCCTAATTCAGAACTGTTGAGAGTGTTTGGGATTGTTTGGACCGAGGAGTTCTGGATTTCTGGGAAAGTTTGGACGCCATTGTGTTCAGTGAATCCTAGAATGCCCCTTTGAATCTATCAAGCATGTTCCCCTAAAGAAATGTTATCGGGCAGTATTACGGTATGGTACATGGAATGCATGATAGTGAGAGAATTATGCAATTAAATCAAGAATTCCGACGTAGACAAATTTATTTAACTCAATACAGCCGAATAATAGTTCCTCTGAATTCCGATGTAGACAAATTTATTCAACAAAATACAGCCGAATAATAGTTCCTCTGAATTCCGAAATGTAATGTGAAGTTCAAGGCTGTGGGACTTGAGAGAGAAACCACCTTGTAGGACGCCTTCATTCCATTTCGGTCTGCTGAAGTAACCATGTCAGCCGACCGAAATGGCATTAAAATATATGGCAACGCATCTGCATCGGCTCTCAATATTTCACCTACAAAACATGGGAAGCATAAAAAGAACAATAATAAACCAACTTGTAAAACCAAGAAATCATATCTGCCAACATACTTGAAACTCTTGAACATTCAAACTTTGTCATGTGCATAGAAGAAAATTAAAAAAATAAATAAAATAATGATAGATAAATGCTATCCACGCAGTAATGGCAAGGTTCAAAATATTCTATGAAATATTTATTCATCAGGAATAATGGATACAGTACTTGTACAAAATGCCAATGCTACAATATAACCCATAAAAAAAATCTTTGCCATCAAAAACAAAGAGTTACATAAAGTATGCTTTCTAGATGATGACGGAATAATGACCTATTAGTCTGATGGTAGAGGATTGGATAGCCATAAGGATAAGGTAGCTATTGAATTGATGGACTTAAAATATGTGCATTTAAACAAATTTAATTACCAAACTTTGAAGAGAAAAAAAATATATATAGTTTGAATAAAAGAATGCAACTTTTATTTTTATTTTTATGAGAATATAAAGAAGAAGAAGAAGAAGAAGAAGAGGAGGAGGAGGAGTAAGAATGAAAAGAAATGAAAAATTAAAGATATTTTTCAAAAATAATTGTTTTAGTGGGTATTTTTGTAAAATTTTATAAATTATAGGCCTATTTGTAATAAAAATTAATTGGGCCAAGGGTAAATAATTATTTCAGTGGGGCATTTTTCACTTTTTTATAAGTTATTGGCCTGTGTGTAATAAAAATTAATGGCCATTTTTTAGAAAAAAATTATTTTAGGGGGGGTATTTTGAAATTTTTTTATAAATTATAAGCTATTTTCTAATTAAAATTAATGGGTCAGCATGGACCCAGGAGGGCATGGCCCCCCCTGGGCCTATGCTGGCTCCGCTGTTGCTTGTAAGATGAAATGCAGTTGTCTTGATTTGTATCGCAGTCAAGACATGTGCTGATGTCCACGGCTAATGGGGTAGGTAGTGCTTCCAAATATAAGACAAATGCACTCTTCATGTGCTATAATGAAATAAATAGCATAATGTGTGTCAACTCTACGACCTACACAGACTTTTAATTCTTCAAATTATCCAAAAAAAAAATTCGTTTGGTAATAAAGTTTTATGTACACTACATAGATTAGAAATACACAGTTAACAAGCTAACACATCACAATACGAGCATTGCCTAATTTGCCTCAACAATTGTGAAAGCTATCATACAGATTATCACTAGATAAAATGTATCATCACCAGACCAGTATATATAACCTGCGTATATCAATGTTGAGCATTTGACTCCGAAATCTGAGAAGTAAAATACAGAGAATGGGAATTATCATATCATACATAAACATGTATTTCAACAAAATGTCTGGTTCAATTGAAGACGTATTCGAGATCTAGGGTTTTAAATTGCGATGAAATTCTAGGGATTGGGGGATGCACCTATTGTGCCTTTGGACAAACGGTGAGTTTTTCGCATCTTCCTCTGCAGAATATTAAGTGCTTTAAAGTGGCTGAATTATCAATTTAAAGTTGTTACTGTAAAATTTTGTTAACGGTACGATGAAAATTTGAAATTTCAGTAGTTTAGAACTTAAAATTATAATTCAAATTTTTTTATTGAAAATTAATATGATTTTTTTTTTTTTAATTTCAAATTTATAAAATTTATTTATCTTTTGAAAGTAAATTAAGAATTTTTTTTTTTTTTTTTTTTTTTTTTTTTTTTTAAGTAAGAATGTTAGTCGTTTAAGGAGAGGGGACAAGGTTGTTCAGCTTCCGGAAGAACCCAATCACTCGGACAACAAGGCACTTGCAAAAAAATGTTTCGGTAACTTTTTAATTTTAGAATCATCATACTTAAAAACTTCTTTATCTTATGTGATTTGAAATTAACCTATAGTATTTTTAAACTAAAAATTCCGAAATCGTTGTATAACAATGGACAGTTCAGACTTAATTGTTTCATAAACCACTTGCAATAGTTGATTTGTCACACACAACTCTCAGGAGACACTCACTTTAAAATTTATCATATAGTTAAAGTATTTATGTAACTCACACGTAGAATTGTCAGCGATAAAAATTTCAACAAAACTATCACACAGTTTTTTTCACAAGGCCTTCTGGAGCAAATATATTTTTATCACAAAAAAATTGTCATCATTATCATACACTCAGAACAGTTAAATAAAAGAGAGAGTTGAAGGTGAGCATGCTCACGAGAGAATGCCCAATGATGGTGAATTATTTTCCTTGTCCAAATATGACACTCCTATCAGTGTTGTTATACTGGTTATTGGGCTGCCCTCTTTGGGCTTAGTTTTCTAGGTCTTCTGTGGGCTTTAGCTCTGTTTGGCCGAATGGCCCTTTCCATTATTTGGAATTTTGGATCCTTCGTACATTTATACTTTTATATATATATATTTATTTATTCACTCTAAACTTGGATTGATGGACGGACAAACTGAAAAGGTAGAAGTTGAGCTCAAATTCAGTTTAGATCGTAGCCGATTTCGTTAAGCTCGTGAATTTATCAAATATATTATTTTTATATTTATTAATTCATGTTTTTAAATGCTTTAAAATTAGGACGAATTGCTACTACCCAGCTGCAAAAAACACCCTTTATGAATATTTTTGACAAAAAATTTCCCTTAGCTATCCGAAAGGAGTACTTTTAACTGATGTTTGTTTAAGTAATTGTTTGAAGGAATTTTTCATCGAGAAATCCACTTGTTAAAAATTGATCTTTCAACATTGCTTGGACAATATGATAGGTTCATTCTTAACTACAAAATGTTTTAATTTGGGTAGTTGTTACAAGGAAAAATTTGTTGCACATCGAATGATTCGATTCTGGATAGAAAAGTAATTGGGTATAAATAAATGGATATGCAGCATTGAGGGGGCACGTGATGCCCTGTCCCTTCTCCAACCTACTACATAGATATATATCTTTGTTTTATATATATACTTATATGGTAATTTTAAATAATGCCCCTCCTAAAATTTTCAAATTTCTCTAATTTTCTTTTATAAAAAGGAAAAAAAAAGTTACATATATCTCCCTTTTTCAAATACACCATATATTTTTCCTTTTCTAATTTTTGTTTCTTTTTTCAAAAATATACTTTTTCCACTTATATATAATTATGTATTGTTCCATTTTCTCCGAGTTAATTTTTTTCTTATTTGCATTTTAATTTTATTAATTTATTTATTTTTCAATAAGTGCATTGTATCCTCTTCTAATAAAATTATGCCTCCATCCTTAATAACACTGTTAAATAATTTAAACTTTTAAATAAATAAACAAACACGTTCGTCGGGCAAAGTCAGACCTCAATAATGAATAAGGTATAATCGCAATGTTCATAAACAGCTGTACTCAATAATGAATAAACACAACGCTTTAGACAATGACGGACCACCATACCATATGATACGTTAAAATGATAATAATTGGTGAATCAAGTGTGACACTCCATTTACTTTATTTATCCAAACCGATCTATATTCAACTTAACAAAAATACACGTGTAAAATTCCATTACGCGTCCTCTTCGCTCCGTGGTATTGCTTCTCTGCTACGCCACGTTGCACATCAGTATAATATTATATTAATAACCATCGGTAAACGGAACAACAGTTCCAAATTCTGTCTCGCACATGTGGATTACTTTCAGAGTAATCTTGTCTGAAGAAGCATAAGACCCTTTACGTACACATATACATCTATATCTATATTTATATATATACTCGTATAATCAAAGCTTTCGTTGGATCGCAATTAGGGTTAGGGCTGAGGTTCTCTATTACCAAATGCTCTTTGCTTGGATGTTATCGTCAAAATGCCCCAAGCTTCACCGCCCCGAACCTCCGCTCATCTTGTCGCTCTTACTCAAGAAATCGAGAAAAAGCTTCAACGGGTTCGTCTTCTTCATTTCCGTTCTTTTTGTATATGTATTGCAATATACACAAACACACACATATTTATGTATGGCAAGCAATCAATTTACTTCCTTAACTGTTTCAAGCTTCTAATTACGCAGTTCGTTTAGTGAAATTATTCTTTTAATTTGCTGCAGGCACTAGCTTCTCCGTCGCAAAGGCGCAACCTGTTACAAGAGCTGTTCGCGGACATAGCTTTAGAAGTCGATGATAGGGCCAGAGGTGAGTTTAAGTTGTACATAACTCGTCTTCAACTTATTATGATGTTCAATGTGTTCGTAGATTGTGTAAGGTGAATAGTGGATTTCAATTTCACGTGTAATAAATATGGGTGCATTTGGATGTCCTTTGGAAATTCATTGGCTCTATCATGTTCTACTCAGCATATTAGAGTAGGAAAATAGGGTGTCTACCCCTCTTAGAATGGTAGGAAAATATTTTAATATTGTCATTTCGATGAGATTTATATTGAGTCTTTATCATTAGTTGTGGATGTGGTTTTTGTAGTTCCAGCCTTGACAATTAACTTCTTTCTTGGAGAGCTATGTGAACAGAATAGCATCCAAATGCATCCTAACATCGATTAATATTATAATGCTAAAGGATGCTTTCCCTCATTTGTTGTCGATGACCATTATTTTGGTAATTATATGATGTATGTATGAATTTACTTACGTGTGTCTATAGAAGTGTTAATGTGTTATCTCTTAGCACAAAGAAGTTGAAGTAATAATAGCCGGTTGTCATTTGTGTATTTTAGCAAACTTGTGCACTGTGCTTATATGCATTTAGTTTTTCTTTCGTTTGTGTTGGAAACTTTGAAGTATTCTTCACCTAGAGACATTACCTATCTTTTCATGTTGTTGAAGTGCGCCTTACATGAACTAGACCTGATTATAATGATCTCAATTTGAGCACAATAGTCGGTATCAGTTTTCTCAAGGTTAATCTTTTTGTTTTAGTAAGTAAGATGTATTTTATTTTGATTTTGTAAATAAGCGCCAAAAGGTGCACAACCTTTGTACACAGAGTCACAGAGTAAGGCTGCTATTGTCACCTTAAAAAGAATAGTGCTTCATGCTGAGTTAGCCAGTATGCAGCACGTTTCTTACTTAATCTGAGTTCTTGAATTTGGATTTACCAGTTGTTCTTAAATCATCATGAAAGGACCTTGAAGAAAAAATAAAATGAGTTAAGTGGTAGTTGTCAGAATAGTTTTCCCAAAACCACATTTAGAAAGACCGGTAAGAGAATGGAGGAAACTTGATTTATTTTTCAAAAGAGTATAATGAAGAATTATGGCTGTACTACGTAAAATCATCAAAACTTTATGAAGAGATGTGAAAATTTGAAATTGGTAGTTCGAAGGATCCAAACCTGTTCATAGAGTTTTCTGTGAATGAATGCATTTTTTGTGATTTGACCTTTGCGTCAAACTGTGATCAAGTAACCTTTTAAGGGATTACACCAATATTAATTTGCTATGTAGAGCTAGTAATCCTTGTCTGGCTCAGATATTTAGTTGCTAATGTGAGATACTGAGAGCAATGCTTTTGCGTCCTTGTTAATTTTTGAAAATTAGCAATATTTCCATGAATATCATAGAAAATTGGTTTGAGAAGCTATGTTTATCAAATGTGTGTGGCTCGTAATGGTTTGTTACTTCTTTTGTTTGGTAATGGTTTAAGGGGGAAAATGCTATGGTTTTCATAATCAAAGGGATCTTCTGGCATCTTAATGTTTCGTGTTGTGAATTTGATAGAAGAATTAAGAATTGTGGGATGAGAAAAACTTCACTGCAACCCTTTCCCCTACATGCATTTAAGGATGCATAGAGTATATGGTGAAATGTTTGTGCATGTGGAGGAAGGGAAGTGGTCTGGTGTAATGGTCAGATTCATGCCGTTAATCTCTCTCTTTCTCTCTCTCTCTTTCTCTCTCCCTCTTGGTGGGTTTGAAGGGAGTGCCGGATGTTCATATTCTTGTTAACGGTATTCCCTGATTAGATGCAGACTGTAGACTAGGACTGATTTAGAATTAAGAATAACTGTAAAATTGTTGAATTTGCATCGTTGATTTGTCTCCAAGTCTTTCCCTCACGTGTAAATCATTCTAATTGCTTTCCTAGAGAGATCCTGAAATCTCAAGATTGCTGCATTTCTGGTATCAGCAATCATGTATATATTGTTGCTTTAGAACTCTTAGCATGCATTTTATCTTGCATGGGCGATAAATAATATCATTGTTCTAAGCAGAAAAATGATGAACATGGCTTCGAAAGGGGTATTGACATTTATCATTTTCTAAGTTTTGATGATCTGCTTGTCCTTGGTTCTCAAAGGATAATCTTATGGCTAAGGTCTTCACTAAAAGTTCTGTAAGTAGTACTCAACAAATTGGCCTTTGTCTCACTTCTCATTTCTAGTTAGATTGTCAGCTCTATCAACTTCATGCTACCCTATGCTCTGCTTCAGCTGTAAGTTGAGCATGGTTTTTATTTTGTAAAAAGGTATTCTCCAGTTAATTGATTTAAACTCAAACTTCATACCCATTGGGTTTTGCTAAAGCTTATATTCATGTGTTTGCATTTTGACACTGAGAATTCCTATAGTGGTGGATCAAGGTACTTTCTTTCTTTTCTTTTCTTGTTTTCTTTAAGTTTTTCCTTTCAGTAGGGGGGTTTGAGTGTAGGGTCACTTCTTTTAAAAGTATTTGTTTACTAATTTTTCTTTACTTATGTAAAAAAAATTGTGTTTGAATTATTTTAATTTGCAAAGATGCTTTTAATTGTTGTAATTTAAGAAAAAAAAAATTATTATTTATGTTCTTGCGTTAAAAAAAAAAAAAAAAAAAAAAACTAAATTAAGCTAATTCGCCAATTTAAGTGCAATTTCAATAATTTAAGTAGTATTACTTAGGTGCTAGTTTAGTACTACAAATGGTATCATTCAAATTCTATATTTTAACTCTCGAAGGATGTTTCTATATATATATATATATATATATATATATATATATATATATATATATATATTAATAAGCAAGATTTCATGAACTTGAAGGATGTTTCTAATATCGTAAACAAAATTTAACTCAAAAGGTTTGGGGGATCTAAGTATTGAAGATTTGAGGAAATTTTGATGCAGGGATTGCTGTAGAGATACTGAAAGTTAGAATCAGGTCTTGAAGCTGTGGCCTTAGTGATTTCTCTGGGTGGTGTGTGCATGGTCCCTATCTGTCCTCTAGATCCTCCGCCGGATTCACACATAAATAGGGACAAAAAAATGCTTAGATTATATAATAATATGCTTATCCTTATGCACAAATGTGGGCACTGTAATGGATCTAATATACTGGATGAATACTTTCTATACTGTTTAAAATCTAGCTATGAATTTATATGTCGGAAGTGTTACAAAGAAAAGATGTGAATATGTGAATCTTCATTAATGGTGTGTGATAATACTTGCATTTGAAATATACCTTCATTTGAGTTATTTGTAGTTATGGCATTTTAATCAGTCATAACTTACTCTTCTAACAAGTTGATCGATGATGACAATGATGATTTTATAGTCTTCTTATGTACTAAATCTTTTTAAATTTGTCGTAGGCTGTTCAGATGTCCGACTCAATTATGGTTCTTTGATGTACTCATATTCTGCTTTGGAATTGGAACAGATATAATTCAGAGTAGGGAAGATCTAATTACCCCTGCAGAGGATGGGAATGTTGGTCCCTTATGCTTTTACGACGTGCTTGCTGATCATTTCGTTTGGGTGCCCGAGAATGGAAGACCAATTCTTGATTTGATTGTCCAACTCTGGAGCCAATCATTTGCATCTCACATTTTTTCCCTTCTGTTCCACAAATGGGTATGTAATCATGTATATTGTAAACTGCACTATTTTGTTGTAGAAGTTTTCCTTCAAGCTGTGATGTTGAACGCATTAGTGAATTTTTTGCTTAAAAAATAAGCTTATTTTTCTACATTTGTACTTCCTTCTAATATCTATTTTTGAGTCGATCAAATAAAATATATACATGGAGGCCAAAGTGCGGTAATCTTTTCCTACCCTACTACTTGTAGATTTTAGCCATATAGACCCCACTAGTTTACTGGTGTGTTTATGGCTTCCATAGAGGTTCTCTTCAAATAGCTCATGTCAATTATCATGATATCATCTGTTCAGTTTTTTTTTTGGGAATAATACTTAATAGGACTTCTCAACCAATGAAGGTGGAGGCATTGACAGGTGGTGATTTTGACTGGCCCATCTGGACAATAAAAGAGAGCAATTGTTACAAATAGTAGAAACTAGAATCTGCTTTTTACTCCATATTGACTTGCATTTTATGGTTTTCTTTTTCAATGGAACATTATAATATAATTAATGATTTTAGTTTGTGTTAATTAAAAAATCACCTAATGCTTTACACGAATTGGCTTCTGACCTCCTGGTTATACTGCTTTAATAACTAGCGTGTAATACTTCAACACATGGGCATGGACTATTTTTTTAGCATCTTTTGTGTTCGCTTCTACACATTGAATCTTAGCTATTTAGGCTACTACTTTTTGAGGCAGCATTTTGTTGCTATTTTGAAATGAAACTTCTAGTGGGTTTTTGTCTTTCGGAAGAGGAAAAAAAAAAAAAAAGAGTACAGAGTTGGCTGTATGTTTTGGTGAATAGAATTTTCGGTCCAGGATCATGAGAATTTGATGGAGCTCTCCTTATCCAAGAAGCTTCAGATGTTTGTACAGTGGTTAATGAGGAATAGGTTACTCACTCAGTAAGGTCAGTCAGATCACAACTGTCATAGAATTTATTCCTTTTTTGATTATTTTGTCTATCTACTTTAACATTGTCCAGATATGTGCAATTTTTCACAAGTTCGGAACCAATTGTAGATTGTTATTCTAATGTTCATTTTTTTTTTTGAACCTCTAATCTCATAAGCACTTTAAAATTGCTTAAAACCCCAAGTTTACTGCTTTGGAGTGAATTCTGGTAACAATGGTCACAACAGAAAGCTCTTGATTACTCATACAGAACATCCCAAAAACTAAACATTTAATTTTTCTTAAAAAGCTTTGCGTAAGATATTAAAGGTCCCTGCTCACTGGATATAAATAAATAATGCTTGGCGAATTTTAACTGCATCTTGATTTTCTGGTGTGAATGGATTGATATACATCTTTCCCCATAGCCCTGGGGCTGTGTCTCGATCTCCATGTGCGAAATCTAAGGGACTAGTTTCTATGGAGATTCCCCTTGGTCTAATTTCACACCTTATGAAGTAGGGGGAATTCAGTGATTTATTTACCCATTGTAATTATTATAGTTTCCATTTGGATTGTCTTCCTGCCTACTACTAAGTAAAACTCCAACACCTGCTTATATAATAGACAATGACTTATCATTGAAATCTTGGCAAATGTTTCTGTTGTGGATATTGGATATCTGGGTAGATGCAGTGTCCAAATCCAAATTTTACCCTCACCTGGGCTACACCTGTGGGTAAAGGCTGTCATGTAAGAAGTTGACACTGGTATTACTAATCATGTTACATTTAACAAGGACTTAGTTCCCTTCGCACACATAGTAAACTGGAAACTGTTGTGTTGATTATCTGGCGGACAGGGGATAAGTTATTTTAGACTTCAGATTTTTCAGTCAATTTCAATATTTCTATAGCATTTCAAACATCTTGACGTGCCAGTTGACTTGATTAGGTTTATGAGATGCAGGCATTGTTAAGAAATGCAGCCAAGGCTGTTGTTACGTGATGGTTATATATTGGCATGGCATCTAAATGTGGGTTGAGGATTCCATTGTCACCGTTGGCCAGAAACAGAAATAAATTCTTTTGTGTGTGTGTGTGATTGTGAATTCCTTGCTTTTTGGGAATGGTTGATTTAGATAGATCCTTCCCTCCAGAGAAATATAATAATAAGATAATAAAAGTAGCTAATTTTAAACAGAAAATAATGACAACAAAAATAGAAAAGTGCCCTTCTAAGATGCACAGTTGTTTATGGTTTCATTTCTTCCAATTATCATGTTGTGGGCCAGTGTTTTAGGAGTAGTCCATTTTCAGAAATGGGATTTGTCCAACTCATTCCCACACAGGAGGGGCCAAGTTTGTATTCTGGTTCCCATCTTTGTGCAAATGAAAAATTATACACAAGTGGAGGTCCAGTGGCCATGTTAACTGAGCATTAAAGGAATAGTTTTAAGGTTATGGGAGGTTCAGGATGCACTATTCATGTCATTAGTATGGAGCTTTCGAATTTTTGCCAACTTAGAGCTTTAACGAACTTATTTCTTTTACTGTGGCCTTCCTGCTACATAACTTGCATTTTTTTGCAGTTGTTCGAAGTCCAACTTGATAATTCAGAAGTTCTTCTTCGTTACTCGTCAGCTCTTGTTCAAGGTGCTACAAATGTCTTCTGGTATGGTCCATGTAAATATTAGCAATCACATTTGGATGTTACTTTGACTAGTTACTTATGAAGTTGATAGCCAATGCCTTTCTTTGGAGTTAGTTCACAAGTAATATCAATTACTGTTGATTATTTAATGCTTATCGTGCATACACGCACATTCAACAACTAATTTGCTGGCATCTTTTTAGGTTACCTAAATTATTTTTTGTTCCTTCTTTTCCTTTGAATTTTTTGGCATTGATAGTTGTAAGATCCCAGTTTTTGTAAAAAACGACCTTTTTTAGTTTACTCTCATGCTAGTCCTTAAGAGCCCTTTCACTCTTTCTATTTTATTTATTTATTTATTTTTATCATTTGTAGTAACTGTCTTATTCATTGTTCTTTGAATTTCCCTGGGAAAAAGAATATAAATGATGCTTTATTGTAATGTAATTATTTGTTTGTCTGCAGGATTGACATCCAAACAAACACGAGACGTTTCCAAACTCTCTTCCGGGTATGATTCCTTTTTTTTAGGGTAAAATATTCTCGCTGTTTACATTACACGATGCTATTGAAGATATATTTTTCACTCTTGTCCTTTCTGTTGGATTCAGTATTTACTGGAGGAGGTTGCACTGGTGCCTGACCGATTAGAGAAAATCCCCTTGCAGGTTAATATTGATCCTGCCCATATTATTTTCTCATGCTAATAATATACGTAGTGATTCGATCAGTATTTTGAGTGCACTTTCCTAATGATGAAATATTTTCTTGCCCATTCTTCCCTACTCAGGCCCAACAAGATCTGTTCCTTCTAGTTTCAAGGTTCATAATTTTCTACGACTTAGGTAGGTCTGGTTAGTGGTGCACTTTTCTGTTGAACCTCAAGATGTGAAATTGCCTGCGTCTGATCTTATGTATTGTACAGCCGACAAGCTGGAGAGCTTCTTGAAACATTTTCCTGATTTCCCAAATGCGTTCTTAGTTGGTGGTCGAGCAGATATTTTTGTTATCGAACTCGCAGATCAGGTGAGAATTATATTACTGTCCTTAGAGATGGCTTCCTTTGATGACTTTATTTTTGTTGCTATGGTGAATTTTTTTCTTAATGGGTTTAAATTTTCCTGATTGGTCAGCTTCAAAAGTTGAAGGTGGAGCCAGTACTGATACATTACCTTTCTCACCTTAAAGTACTCCAAGGTAGTAGAATTTCAACCATTGATCATACGTCATTTGAATATAATATGATTCAGGCAAGAATCTAGAATATCATGTTTATTGCAGCCTGACTAATCTCTGCAGGTCTTGAACTGAGAATGACCACGAGTACGAGATTGAAAACTTGCTTATATAGCTTCACTTCTCCTGGAGGTCCAATGTATCCAACAAGAGTTGTTCGTCATGCTGCTTGGGAGGCATTAGATTTGCTTTTTCCTGTGAGTAAATTTTTATTTATAGCCTAAGAATATCTATCGGAGAATTTTAATGCGAGTAATTTTCGTATCTTACGTACATCTGGCCCTCCTAGATCCTGCAATGGCTGGAGCCTCCCTCGTGCACTGCCGCACTGGGCTAAAGCCCTTTTTCAATTATCTTATCTTAATAATGATATCGACTTACAATCAATGGGTGTGTGTTAACTTCATCTTATTTTGACCATTTTGCTTGAATATGCTTGTGCCTTGTATAGAAGAGTTCTATTTTGTTGGAATTTTTCATTTGTTTAATTAAAGAATTTATTCAAAAGGCGAAATAGACTCGTAATTGTAGAGTAACGGTAATTTGAAATCATTTGTTAATTTTAGTTTTCAAATTTCCCATTTCTTGTTCATTTTCGCCCTTTTTGGCCATTGGGGGGTCGGATTTTGGAGACAGCGCAGATGGGTTGAGTTCATAGAGGACTACGACTTTGAGTTGCAGTATCATCCGGGAAAGGCCAATGTGGTGGCCGATGCATTAAGTAGGAAGTCACGGGATACTCTTGCTAATTGACTCTAGAGGGGGGGGAGGGGGGGGGGGGGGGGGGGGGGTGGGGGTGGTGGGTGGGGGGGTTTGAATAGAGTCAATGGCCAATTAAAATAATTTACAATTTCACTAGAAATAAACAATTATGCAATAATCAATTAAAGTGCATCTTGGTGGAAGAGAGAAGTACCTGATGCTTCTGGCTTGTACGCGGATGCAATTCAATCCATGAGCATCCATTTATCATGGGACCAAGCACCCGATATTCAGTTACAGCAGTCATCCTGGGTCAACAATGATGCGCCGAATCATTGAAAATTCACATGGTCATCCACTAAAGAACTAGACTCAAGAATCGCCTAATTCGGAATCCGAACGGAAAAGATATGAAATAGAACAAAGAGGCATCCTCCTATTAAGAGATACCACGACCGTATCTCACTAAAACTATCATAACTCTCACTACGGTTGGAATTTTTGTGTGTGGTTGGTACCATTGGAAATCCAACTTCAAACTATTGAAGTTAGGCTTAAGAATGACCTGATTTCGATTAAAAACGAGTGAGATATGACCCTCTGAAGTTGGCTCAAGAAAGCTGTCCAAGAAACTGAAAAGAAATCAAGCTTCAGGGAGGATCAGCAGGCTGACGGCACGGCCCATACACATATGACACGGCTGGAAGTGTCCTGAATTTTGAATACTTTATTTTTTTGGTTGGACACGGTTTAGACAGGACATGGACACATTTGGACAATGTTTAATGTTCTTCCTTGTATTCTTCTGTACAAGCTGGAATCTTGGAAGACGTATACGCTTTCAGGAGTCAAAAATTGAAAACTATAAGGACTTTGGTTTTTAACTTCATAGCACATGTGGAAGTGACCTCTTTTGTGGACCTTTTTAGAAAGCTGCATGCTTTTTCTCCCTTTTCCCCTGGTGGTGCAATCCATTGCCTCTTGCAGTAAAACTGTTTGTTGGCACTCAATTCAGTGTTCACGCTGCGTTGATATTGTTTTATGATTACACCCCACATGTCTGGAAGATCAATAAAACATACCAACTCATCAGTTAAAATAATGACAGAACAACTATGGCCCGAATCTACATTCTCTTCTCTGACGACGAACAGCTGCCCATTGTTATAATCTACCAAAATTTACATCCCACACATTTTGTGGTAGGGATGAAGTGTGTTGTGTTTTATAATCTATTCGTAATTAAATACTCTGGTGTTCTAACTAGAATGCTCGTTGCTTTAGTAAGTTTGATAGTGGCTGCTTTACGTATGAGCGAGGCTCATTGCAATTCATTTTCTTCAAGCTTTGACTAGATGACTTGCCTGATGCTACATTGCAAATACACCTAGATTTGGCCAGGTGTCTATGGTGTGAATTAAATTAAATTAATTGCCCTTTTTGCTGAGTTTTGTTTCTTTATTTATTTATTTTTGTTTTCAATTTAATTGGGAATTCTTATAGAGTAAATTGATGCTTTGGTTCAGGTTGGGCGAATTCCTCGGCATCTTATTAGTCTGTTTTTCCGGTTGCTATATCCATGGTACTGGCCCTCTTCTTGCTGGAACTTCATACTCTCTTGCTTAGAAGCGGTACTGTATTCTCTGCTGAGGTTGGTTTTTTCTAGTTGGGAGAAGTTGAGAAATGCCAAGAGGTCATAATATATTTTAGAAATCCAATATACGCGGCCTCGTGTAAGGTTTAAAATGAACATTGTGTGAAGGCAGATTGTCTGATGTGAGTGTGGCAGTTCTTTTTTTCTCTTCTGCCAATTGTGGATCAAATAAATCTTTGTAAAACACTAGTAAAATTTCAGGTTTGTATACAGATTTGGGATAACCAATGTTGCTGCTGGATTCGGTGGGTAGGGCTGGCAGGTTTGAAGTGATGTGGTCCGGGCTTTGTTCCATTGGATTCTGACGTTGTGTACAAAAATTTGCATTTGATTTTTATTTGTGAAGGTAATTTTTGAGAAGCCTTGCACAATTTATTGTCACAGTTTATAATATATATTTAAAAACAGCACTTTGAACTTTTTAACTTTTCACTGTACTCAATTTTCCTTTGGTTTATTATTATCTGATTCAAATGGAGCTTATCCAAGGAGCAACAAAAAACAATCCAGACGCATTGACGCAAGGAATAAACTTATGTATTTTATTGTAGCCTGGTGATTTATTTATTTATTTATTTATATATTTTTTAATTTTTCTTATTATTATTATTTTTTTTAAAGTTAAATGCACGTTCAAGAACCACCCTGCAACAGCGCACGTCATGGAAGGATTTAAACCCAAATAGGTTATTTACAATGAAAATAAACACGTAAACACATTTCTAACATAAAATCTATAAATTACACAAGCGGTGTATTTATTTCCTCACGGACTTAATGTGACATCATGTATCCATCAAGGCTGGTACCTCATCAGTCTACACAGCTGCCCGCGTGCCACGAGAAAATTCAGTAGTTGTACCCGAGAAAATTCAGAAGCTACCGCATTATGCGTATAATGTGTCAATCTGTGATCTTTGCTAACACCAACTTGGAACTTGTGGTGCTTATTATTTGAAATCCATCAGGGCAACGAGTACAACCGCCATATAGACTTAACATGGGAGTAAATTGTCACAACCTGACCAGATGTGCACAAAAATCCGGTAAACTGGAAAATTCAAATTGGATCGGACAATTTGGTTTGATTTGTTAATGGTTTTGTTCGGTTACTGTTTTAAAGTTGTGAAACCATAAATATACGATTTGTGAAACCATAAAGATACGATTTGATCACGGTTTGAAGTCCTTTAGGACCGAACTAGACCGAACCGTTATGCTATATACATATATATATATACACACACACATATATATATCTTAAATTATACAATATATATAATATAATATAATATAATCTTACAATCCAAATCATTTAGAAATTTTGTAGCAACCATCAATCCTAGATCCGCTCTTAATTCTCTTAGGTCATATCAATTTATTAGATGATTTTTAGTAGCTGAATTTTGAATTGTATCCAATTGTTTGCTGTTGAATTAATAATTCCAAATGTATTAGGCTATTAGCAATTCTGAATTTATTCTGATAGTTCTGAATATGTTGGTAACTTGGTTATAATTGTACATGTGAATTTTTAAATATGAATACTTCTATAACCAAAAAAAATGAAAAGAAAAAACGTGAAACCAAACCGACCGGTTTTTCACGATTTGATTTGGTTTGATTCCTTTGGTCAAATAGTTCGATTTGGTTCCAAATTTTATGAATCTATTAAAATTGGTTTAATTCCAAAATAACTCTTAAACTGGTTCAAACCGAACCGCGTGGACCCTAACCCTAACCACTCATGTTTCCTTCTCTTGGTTCAAATTTACACCTTGTGCAGTTGACATTGATTTCCCATTTTTCTACTCAATCAGTAAGAAGTATAACTACAAGATCATCACTACTTAAAACCCAAACCAAACTTAATTATTATGATAACGACTACAATTTGTCAATCATATTTAAAAATAATAGCTGCTCATGACTGAAGTAGCAATCAATTCTGCAATAGCCAGTAGGCCCCTCCTTCAAGTTCCTCTTTAGCATCATCAAAATTCGGCCAGCCCCCAGCATGTACCAGCTGAATATAAGACAGCCCAACACCCCCAATCTATAAAAAAAATGTGCTAGGGAGCTGTCTTCTATAAAAAAAATGTTCCTCTTTCCAGTGAAGCTGTAGGAGAACTCTTTACGCTCCAAATTGCGTGCATCACTTCTAGATGTGCTTGCTTCCAAACAAGCAACATCACCACTGAAAGCCACATTGGCATATCAAAATATTCCTTCCACAAAACCCAGGTAGTCCAAACATAGTATAGGGTCTGACATGAAAGCTGATTGATTAACTAAGTAGTACAACTAGGAACAAAATTCGACTTCTTCCCCAGATTTTAACCATGCCATTGGAATTCTATTGACCTGTTCATCCCCAAAATGTCAACAGGTCAAATCAAGCAAAAAGATTCATATGAACTCATTGTTTTACTGCGTCAAGGTCCATATCATATAAGCACTAGTAAATCCCTGGAAAGGGTACTAGGAAAGAAGAATAAATACTGCAACCCAAAATGACTAAACACCTAATTAACCACATAATTGTGCCATAAAGCAAGAAATACAACTTTAACAGTCGAGAGTCCACAGAAGTAAATCATAAAGAAATTACCTCGAGTTGAAGTCTCCTCGATGTTAATGAGCCGAAACAAATCCCAGCATTCCAAAGTAGTAGAAATTCTCTTTTAGCTTAATTCTCTACCAGCTTGCAGACAATGCCAACATTGTGTTTCGGAAAACAAAAGGAAATAGTTCCCATTTCTATGCCTCCACACGGGGATGAATAAATGACGACTCCGCTAGCTAATGGAACCAAAAGTTGAGGTGCAGACTTAAACTATGATCCATTAACCCATCAAAAGAAACAATAAAAAATAAAAGCCCAAGCTCTCTAAATAATGTTTCTCTGACAGTTCTCTACAAGCACTTTCTCCGTTTTTACTCAAAGAATTGGATGTCGATAGAAATACACAAAATAGTAAGAGGATGTTGCATCATCAAGTACACAGTGGCAATAGCAGGTGCAAAGAGACGAGCTATAAATTTTTGTTATGCCTTCAACTAGTCTGCATTACTTCTGAATGATATTTCTCCAAATCAGCATCAAGATCTTCTGCAGATACCTTCTCACCACTGCCCCTTCCCCGTCCACGGCCCCTTATAAATCCAGAGCCTCCACTGCCACCACCACGACTCCTTCCCTGTGCACCACCCCTTCTTTGACCACTGTTCCATAACCATATTCCAAAGAAATTAATATGGAATACTGCATTTTTATTTTATAGTTACAGAAATGAAAAAGGATTGTTACGTTTGACCTCAAAAATTCCTGAGAGAAGGTGCAAAGAAATTTGATGGAAGTACGGAATGCCAAATTACCAAACGATAAACTAAGCATAGGAGTGCTCCGCTACCATGTACAGAAATTTACAAATTTGCAAGAGTAAGCATCATGCAAGTTCAAAGAATGGGAAGTTTCAGGAAGAATATCGCACAAAACACTGAAACCGAAGGTGTGCCTGTGACAGGCTTAAAAGAGAATTCAAGCCTCAATCAGACTTTCATTGCATAATATCTCTTTTCTTTTTTCCATTACATTGTTTCATGAGTTTATTTTTTTATTTTCCTTTTCTTTCTTTTTTTCCTTTTTTTTTTTTTTTTTTTTCTTTGGGATGGGGTGGGGGGAAGACTTGTGGTGTTTACGTTTCACATACAGATGCATTATATATTAAATGACAATGTAACAAACTGTATTTGACAAAGCTTAAACTCCAAATCTCATCTTTAAACTACATAAACTATTCACCTCCCAAACCTCTGATTTTAGTAGAAGATCACCTTGAAGAAGGAAGTCAATGACATCAAACATTTCCAGAATCTTCTCTTTCATTTTGATACATATAATGATTGGATCATAATATATCATATGTAAGGATGGTGATTTGACAAAAGAACCAGGTATCATGCCTGCATCTATTGGGATTTGTTATACGGGTTCTTTCCAATGTGCTTATGTTCAAGGATTAAAAGTCTCTCACCACTTTGTTGTCATAATTTCTGTTTTCATCACAAACCGTACCACAAACATCATCTCTTTATCCAACACGTTTTATCATCATCAACATAGCCAGGTCATTTTTTATGTGTGTGTGTGTGTGTGTGTGTGGGGGGGGGGGGGGGGGGGGGGGGGGTGGTGTTTGTTTAACGAAGAATTAAACCACCCGCTAGCCAATTTGGACTCTTAAATGATGTGCAAACTCTGGATTCATACAATCGCCACAAACCACATCCATCATGTAAGTCCAAGCCTCACCTTTGGCTAATCTCAAACTGGAGATCTAGGGGGAGTACCTCCAAAGGCCTTACCAGTTGATAATTTGAGTCCATACTGCATAGCCCATAGCCCATGGCCTGGTCATGTTGCGGATGTTTGCCTCAATAATTTCTCTTCGCACAAGTAATTTGATTTGTTAATGTAAAATTTAAAAATTAGTTTGGGAGGTTAGGGGTTCGAATCTCAGTGGAGGCATGTGTGTGTGAGTACCAACTAAGGAAAAAAAAAAAAACGTTATTAGTTAAACAAATTCAAGGGCTTGTCTTTGAACTAGATCTTAATAATTTTAGAGATTTAGTATTGCAGTTGATAAACACACCTTTGTAGCTGATTGTTATCGTCTTGATAGCAATGGAATTACGTGGGATGTGCACTTTCGGCGCTCTTTTCAGTATTGGGAGATAGATGAGGTATGTGTTTTTTGGATTTTCTGTATCGAAAGGAGGGTGTTGGCAGAGAAAATGATGATTTGATTTGGGTTCCTTCTTCCCACGGTCGTTTCGAAGTAAGATCCCTGTTCTTATGTCTGTCTCATTTGGTTAATTATGTTTTCCCGTGGAAAACTATTTGGCGATCCATGGCTCCAACTAGGGTGGCTTTCTTTGTTTGGACTGTTGTTTGGGGAAAGATTTTGACAATTGATAATTTAAGGAAAAGGGGCAATTGTATTCTTAATCGGTGTTGTCTATGCAAGAAAGATGGGGAGTTTGTTGATCACCTCCTTATGCATTGCCCTGTGGCGAATGACTGTTGGAATCTTATTTTTGGGTTGTTTGGCATGTGTTGGGTAATGCCACGATCTACTAAGGATTGATTCATGTATGGAGAGGATGTTGCGTGAGAAGGGATGTACGCGATTTCTGGTGAGTTATCCCACATTGTGTTTGGTGGTGCATTTGGAAGGAGAGAAATAGTAGAATGTTTGAAGATAAAGAGTCGTCTACGGCAATGGTGAAACATCACATTCTTCATTCTCTTTTCAATTATGTGAAGAGGAGTTCTTGCTCTTCTTCTGATGATTTAATTAATTTTTGGATTCTTTGGGGCCTTAGTTCCGGTTCCATTTTTGTATAAGGGACGCGTTCCCCTTTT